TAATAATTAATATTGATTTCGTTTTAGAATTTTTCTCTTTCTCCTTCGTCCCACATTTCTCCGTCTCCCTCCTCAACATGAAATATTATTTAGATTCTGAACTTTCTCTCTCTCTCTCTCTCTCTCTCTCTCTTCTTCATTATCTCTATATTTTGACACAATTCTCTTCAAACAATCATTAAAATTTTCTCTTCTCTCATTCTATGCAGATATCAATATCATATACATACATATATAGTTGCCTCTATAAAGAAAGAAAATAATGATAACAAAACACCTACACCTTCATGTTATGCGATGATAAAATTAAAACTAGTGTTATTTTTTTTTTATAATGAATAATAGCAAAATGTTTTCAAATTTATTTTCATCCAGACGTCTGTTAAGCATAGTGAGAATGAACAAACATTAGTTTTCCCATTTTTAACATTCACCACGATTAGAACGAAAAAAAAAAAAAAAAACTGAACATGTTCTGTGAAAGAGAGAGCAAAAGAAGAAGAAGAAATAAAAACTGAACAAAATATGATTGAATTTATGAATATCAAATTCGAGAAAGAAAAAAAAAAGAGTGAGAGTTAGAGAAAATTGACAAATTAAAAAAAACTTGAATGAAATGTATAATTGAAGAATTAAACTGAAAAATAAACGAAAAAAACAAAACGTTTTTTCATACAGGTGAATATGTGTGTATTTGACACATATTTCTATATGATCTAATTATTAGTTTATCATCAATCTCTTCTATATATATGGTTAGCTGAAGGACACAATATGTTTAATGATATCTCTTTACATGTTCATAGTTAATGAGACATATGTACGATACTTTTGAAGACATGAGAATATATATTTCTGTTCTTCTTTCTGCATGTTGAAGGTTCTTTCTTTTTTTTTTTTTTTGTTTTTGCAGATATATGTATATCTTTCTATAGTCTATCCACTCGTATAGAGTAGAGAAAGTCAATAGACAAGCCAAAAAACAATAATACAGGTCACATAGACAGATTATTAATGAGATTGAACGTATAGTAGAGTATTAAAGTAACAACATAAAAAAAAAGAAGTACAAAAACGCATCGTTGATGAAAAACTGGACTTCATCATATTTTTAGTAGATAAATCTCGTTTGAAGAAGATCGCACATCTAATATGTAATGAATCGAGACAATGAATATTTGCATATGTATGAAAACAAAAGTAATATTTATTTTTTCTTGTATAGAAACGTGCTTAACTCATTGAAAACAATGTCTTGTCTTTTTCATTTTAATAATTTATCTCTATGCGTACACACCTTCTATAACCTTTTGTCGATAAAATAATTTTTTTTTTTTTTTATCAACTGAACAAAGAAAATAGAGAAACTATCATTTATAATGAATGACAGACGTCTTCGACAACAAATTATATCCTAATTATTTCAAGGATAATAAAAAAAGAGAAGAAAACGTGTACTCTCATAGTTTATTTAACCGATAAAAATATTGTTCATCATGGACTCCCTATGAAGAAGAAACAAATTTAGTTTTTTCATATGTTAGAATAGTGAATTATTTTATCCTCTAGAATAACTTATTCAAATTTTCTCGAAAATTCTAAATTCATTTCTACTCTATACACACACACACACACACACACATAATTATATAATTTTGAAGAGAAAAACAAAAATGAATTTTTTGTGCTTAAAAAATTACAGAGATTATTTGAAAATGTTAATAAAGATTTAAGTATCATTATAAATAAGAATTATGAATTGTCATATATTTGTCATATTTTTATATGTTCTATTACAAATTTATAATTTAAAAAAGTTAAAAAAAAGACATCTTCATGCAATTTATCGTACATACCTTAAAGTTTGTTGGAATTTTGTTTTTTTTGTCTAGGATATTTATAAAGAGAGAGAGCAAGCACAAACTGTGGTCTAAGCTCGTATTTTTTTATTTTTTTTATTATCCTAATCAAACGTGTGTGTATGTGCTTCTACATGCACTATGGGTATGATTGTACAAGAAAAATATTTTTTATTATTCCCGATGACCAACGTATAATTTTTCTTCTTCTTCTTTATACATATTAAGTCTTCTCCTCGCTCTCTATATCATCTCATAGTTTGTTCAATTCTAATCTTTAGTACACACATACAAACACATATATACAGAATTTCTTTTCTCCTTCTCTATTTTTGTTCAAAATATGATGATGATTATAATAAATAATAATATGCAGATCTCTCTCTCTCTCTCTCTTGCTCTCTCTTTCTCTCTAATATGCAGCTCTAATACTAGTTGCTTGGCAATAATGATGGAAGAAAAGTAGAAGAAAAAAAATTTTTTTGTCTCTTCCGGCTGGTTCACTTCGGTCATCATCATCATCATGGCATGTGCGTATTTTCTTTTTTTTTATTATATTTAATGTTCAATATTTTTTTGACAGAACAGATGTCTTAATTTTCAATTCATAGAAAAAAATTTTATTTTTTTTATTTTTAATATATACATATATATCGAGACATGTTCAAAAGTTGTACATAGAGAGTAAGAGAACGGGAGTTGAAGATAGACATACTATGTACACAAAACAAAACAAAAAATCGAAGGAAAAAAAATTTTTCGATTAAATATAGAATATGAATGAATATAATATACATAAATCTCAATCTATCTCAATCTGTAGTATGGAGTAGGAGAGTATAATTATGCATATGTGGAATAGAGAGAAAGATGGGAACGGTATATTTACATTTAGGTTCTTTTTTTTTTTTTTTTTTTTTTCTATTTAATGTTTACCAATGGCCTTTAAAAAAACAATGAATATAGAAGATTAATTATTTTTTGTTTGAAAGGTAGATGATAGAGTTGTCAATTGGGAATAGAGAAGTTCAAATCATCGTTCACTGATATTTTATTTTATATAAAAAAAATTATTTTATAAAATAACAAATTAATTGTCAAAACAGTATTCGATTAGAGTTTTATGAAATATCAATGTGATAGTTGATGAGTAGTGTTTTTAATAATATGATAGGATGGACAAGTGATTTTGCTACTGTAGGTCTTTTTCCCATGAAAAACTAAAATCTACCGTAATTACTACGATTTTTCTAAATATAATTTTGATTGAATTACAAATTCAAACTGTTTAAAAGTTCTACTATGACATTGATTCCACAGTGAATAAATCTATGATGACAAAAAGTTCTATTAAAAACACTATTGATGAATAATTTTTCCTAATGTTTAGTTATATGTTAGCTAAAATCAAAACAGAAATTTGTTCAGTTTTGATCAACGATGAAAAAAAAGTATGATAACTTTGCGTAATATAACTTTCTCCGATGGTATGGAGACTTGTGTATTGTTACTTTATTCTATGATCGTCTCTGAAGAAGTTTTTTAACGTTATATTATATTGCTACTAAAGGCATTATTCGCTCAAATGTCAGAGGAAACTCACTTCGCTCCGAATCACAGAATAAATGAAGGGGTTGGCTTCATGGTGGATTTATCAGTTAGTCCCAGATTATTTCATGGATGAATATCCTAATATGAAATGAAAAGTCTTTCTTAAAAATGTTGGTAGACTTCTTCGATCTTTATGACAAACAAGAAGTTAATGAAATCTTCATATTATTCAAAATGACGTCTTCTATCCGAATATAACGCTTAGTTCTATTCAAAAATTCTTCGAAGTCAAACAACTTTTTATCATACAACGAGTCATCAATCTGACATACTACATGAAAAAATGAAACAGTTAATTTATGTTAGTTTTATTCTCTAAGAGTGCTACATAAAAGCATTAGCGGAGATCCTCCCACTTTCCGTAGGAGCAAACTCAATCGCGCATTTTTAGATAGATACGACAATATAGACGTTAACATAGGCAGTGTAACACAAGTGTTTCTGCACAATTACAAATGAGATCTGCGTTTCAATGTTTTGATCGATAGAAAAATCAATATTGCCAATACTAAATGAATATATAAAAAAATAAGTATACAAACGGTCTTCATAAAGTTAACTGATTCATCAAAAGACTGTCTTTTAGAAATGATTGTTTTTGAATTAAAATGACTCTCTACATCTGAAAACAGTATTCTCATAAGAAAAAATTTTATTCTAAAAACTTTTAATAAAGAAATGTACGATGGGAGCTCATATGAGATTTTTTGATTGGGAAAAAATATCTCAAAAAATATTTGAGAACTACATCATTCGATGTAGTTTTGCGTATATAATAGCATTCAGAATATAATAGTTGTTTTCGTTAAAAATATGTACCTTAGATGAAAACAATGGAATATTCCATCATATTATATTGAAAACAATGGAAAAATCATCAAGGATTCTAGAAAATTCACTGTGAGTCCAAGAAAGATTTGTGATAAGTTCAAAGATGGAATAGATATAGAAAATTATTTATATTAATTTTAAGTAGAAGAATATTAAACTCATTATATTGAAGAGATTCATTTTCGGAACCATTGTTAGCATGGGAAACAGATTTTTTGTTCTTTATCACATTAGAATGACAGTCAATTAATTTTTTTGTCACAAATGTAGACTGTCTTGTTTGACTGCCAACTGAAATACAAAAAATTCTATTTAAAGAGAAAGGTAGCTCTAAGTTTTCATTTTATTGTCATATAGAAAAGAAAGTAGAAAAAAATTATTTTTATTTCTGTTTTATTGTTTGATTAATTGATGATATTGTCGTTTTTGTCTACCCAAACTATATTTTTATAAATTGTTATCATCATAGATAAACGAAAATGACAGAAAAAAAAATTGTTTTATCACAATAGAGAAGACATATTGTTTTAAAGAGAATATATAAAGACTGTACGTACAAAAAGCGAGACAAGAATAATGACAAGTAGCAATAAAATCAGATTAAAAAAACCACATCGAAAATCCCTGTGTTCTACACAAAACCCTGTAACTATTAAAATATTAAATGTAGAAAATAAACATTTAAAAAAGAATGTTTATTTATTTTTCAGTTGGTTTATAAAAACATGTTGTTACATATTTTTGTTTGAAACGAGTAGTAGTAGAAAGAACCATAACCCCGTCTCTAATCGATAATGCATATAGATGTTTTAACATGACGTGATTCGGTTCAGGTAATAAAGCTGGTTCACACTAAAATAGAAACAGAATGAAACTAATTATGTCAATGTAAGTTATAGTAACATTTGAGATTCTTGTAGTTTGATATTCGTTCTCCTGATCCTCGATTTTATTACATCAGTTTACAATTTTCACGGATTGTTTGGATCTAGTAGATTTTTTTTTTAAGTTTTAAACAATAGACAAAGTTATTGAAATCAATTACAGAAAGAATATATAGATGGAATAAAGTATAATTGAATGATATGCGCCACTTACATGTGCTGATGTGTCTTTATTAAGAATAATGTTTAATAAATGTGGTGGTAAGAATGGTGGTTTGTCTTGTGGAGAAAATTCGTCTTTATTTGGTGGTGGCCAAATCTGATCGTATGTGCCGGGTGGAGAACGAGCAAGATCCGTATCTGTGGCTAAAATGAATAAATAAAGAGCAGATTAAGTAAGATAAAAATTTTCTTCTCTCAAATTACATTGAGATTTGTTTATCGAATGTGTATTTTGATTAGTTGTATGAATAGAATCTGAATGTAAAGCTTCCATCACTTCAAAGTCACTTTTTTTCACTGTTATCACATTGTTACGACTAGAATGACCATCTTCAACAGAAGGCTAAACATTAAAAATAAAGACGTATCAGTTTTAGTCATATAAAATCGAGATGAATGTAATTCGTCTTATATACCATCTGCAATTATTTATAACATACCTCTGTTAAATCATATTCCCATCTTCCATCAATAATAAACTTATACTGATGTTTTCCTTCTGGTAGTTCAACAATGGCAACAAAATCGTTATCACTAAAACAGCATAAGAACATATGTATAACATCTATCTAATCAGAACAAGTTTTCGCGTACCTTTTCACCATTTGGACGACTTCTTTCCAGTTTGTAAATGATCCAATTAGTTGTGCTTCTTTATCTTTCAATGACGCCGGATAACGGAATACAACTGGAATTGTCTTTTTCTCTTTTTCACGATTGGATTGACGAATACGTATTGGTAGACTGGGATCTTGTCGAGATGAAATCTGAATAAGACACATGAACAGGAGTGAGATTCTATATTTCCGATTTCTCGCGAGAATTTTTAGGAGACGAGCTGAATATTGGCAGAGTTTTTCAACAAAACCTCTACACGACATAATAAACGCTTTTCCCGGCGATTCTGTGGCTTTTTCTAAAAGACTACTTTATTTCTATATATTTTCCCTACTTTAAGAATCTCTTGTCAGGAAAAACGTCTTTGGATAAGATATGAGGGGACTTTTAATACGAGCAAGAACGAAAAGTCGTACAGTTATCTCATTAAAAAAACACATCTGGTCTACGTGCAGATACTAAACTAACCTATAAAAATTTGACCACATGGAAAACCAGCTTCCAATTTTGTCAGAAATTGATAGTGTGAGCTAACCATATTAATTTCGTAGTCTGAAACCATGTGTCGAAAAAATTTTTTAATGAAAAAAGTTCCGTTCAAAACTAAAACTTGGCTGTGTGTATGTTCAGTTTTAGTCACTAACAAATTTTAATACCATATTCACAATAAGAAAATAAACTGTCAAATAGGAAGTTATACATACGTTAAAAATTTAAGTTATTTTATATAACATCTTAAATGATCTCAATCTGAAAATTGAAGGATTTTTCTTCGAAACTAAGATTTTAGAATTTTCAGAACAATTCAAGAAAAATCATGTACATATATAAACTCACTATTATATTACAATATTGAGTAGAAAACTTACTCTTTCCTCATGTGATCTTGAATCATCCGCTTCTAAAGTAACATAACGCCCATCTTCACCATCTCGTTCATATCGTGCATAAGTATCGCTCCGAGTACGACCGGGAGCTTGTTGATTACCCATATAAGTAGAAAAGCTATCTGAAGAAAAATAAACAATGGCAACAAGATATGAAATGAGTATGAGAGGATACGGTGAATCATTAATAATCAGTATCAATAAAAAATAAGCATGTCTTTTTATAAAATGTATCATCACTTTAAAATAAACGATTATTGATACGAAGTTAGATAAATTATTTTGAATCAATAGATACTTTAACTTTGTAATGATTAACATCAAAAACATTTATTTATTTTCAAATATTTTGACTGATCAACTCAATCTTAATCAGTTGATAATAAAACTAAAAATTTAAACCATAGTATAGATATTTTTTTTTGATACATTGATAAAACTTACATAGAATGTACGTGTATACAGTCGATGTTATTGCTGTATTGTAATACATACTTTCTATTAGATCTGTCTTATTGCATTTTTTATCTTTTTCTTCCTCTTATGTACAGTTTTTGTTCTTAAAGAAATTTTTAATTTTCTTATATGTTGATGAAGATTAAACTAATCAATCAAAATATTTTGAAATAAATATTTTTGATATTATTCATTACAAAGTTAAAGCATTTATCAATTTAAAACAGTGTATTATTAACCTCCATAACAAATCTATTTTCATTTCTATTTTTAAACATATTTCGCTTTGTGTTCATGATCATAAATGGTAAAAGCAAACAAAAAAAACAAACAAGAAAAACAAAACGTCTTTATATATAATATATAACATACACAACAAAATGCAACATTATTTTACAAGATTTTGTGTAGATTTTCTGGTTTTTAAACTGCAAACATAAATTACAGATACGACAAAATTAAAATGTTCTAGGCTACAATAAGAACATATTCCTCTTTCTTTCCACGAACAAAAATGAAGATGATTATACCAGAAGAAAAAAAAACACAACCAAAAATATATATATGTATATGAGCTTTGAACGAGAACAAAATCGAAATTACAGTATATGAAAAAACAAAAGTCACATCGCACATTTCTTTGTTGAAATAAATAGAAAATTCACATTTTAGACAAGAAAGCAAAAAAAAGGCTAGTATTTTTCTGAACTTACCAGAAGAATATGCAAAACTACAAGATGATAGGGGACGGCAGAGAGAAAGACCAGTCTTTCCAAACGGAGAATTGTCAAAAAGTTGATAGAAACAAACGTTACCTTTCAAAAATCGACTTCGGAAACTGTTGATCGCTCTCAAAAGTAATTAGTGAGGAAAAAGGGAGTAATTTAATACTTGCTAATTTAGACTAGGAATAGGTTCAACAAAATCAGGGATTTTTAATAATTTATTTGTATCGCTCGAATATTTCACTGTTGTTGATATTTTTCTTGCACAAAAAGCTGTAGAATTTCTTTTCTATTGTAAATACAGTTACTCGTAAGTAACAAAAACAAAATAACACAATGTACAGATGCAGAAAGAGCCAGAAAAGAACAGAACGGAACAAAAAAAAGTCATCTTGTGTATATAATGTATATCTATGTAGGTGTCACAAGCCAAAAGAACAGAAAAAGCCCAACAAAATTCATCTTTACATATAGGCAAAAAAATATTTTTATCCATGAAAGAAAAACGAGATTTTCTTCTTCTTTTCTGTTCGCCTTTTCGTTCAGAAACAAAAAGCTGTAACATATGAGCAGAAAAGAAATGATAACAGCTGATGTGTGACCAGACGTTTTTAAATCGTATGGAAAGACATTTAAGGAAGGACGTTTAGAAAAAGCGTTTGGGCATTTCTTCTTTGACAAATAACCAAATAAAGGAAAAAAATTTCGATGGATTTTTCTATTGACCACTTTTCTGGTAATTTTCACATTTTTAGAACAAAGTAATTTTCATCATTCTTAAGAGCGAAGGAGGATATCTACATAAAAGAAAATGATCTTGTCTTATCCACAAAATGTACATGTGAATCCGCCAAGAATCTTGGTTAATGTTGTTAATTGAAATTCATCTGTTGTTCCATCGGTAATATAGAAATTACATAGCGTACAACGTTTTGCTCGATCTTGAACATAGATGGGTAAAAATGTTTTATTACAACGTTGAAACTCGTGACCATTGGTGCAGCTCAAATCAAAAAATGTTCGAATTAGAAGCTGACCGTTACAGATAGGACACTGTAAATATTTGGCGTCACATGTTTGAATATTGACTAACGATGAATATTGACCAGATGTGGTCGATGGTATAACAGCTGTTCCATTGGCTGCTGCTGTCGTGGGACTTGAAGTCATATTCGGATTAGCCATGGCTAAAACAAAAAATGGTTTTAAATCAAAACTTCAAATAACTTAGGGCAACATCATATAAATTTGTCTTATTATTAATTCTCAAGAACACCGTCGATTCAATTTAGACGGTTGTAGACTTTCTCCCAGAAACAGTATAAAACTCAATTTTCTACCCTTTTTATCAGTTAGAAAAGTTTTAAAAGATTTTTGAATAGTTTGAATTAAAGGATACTCCTCTACTATTTACAATACTGTTGTTTGTTTCTTTGTTTTTGCAAGAAAAAGTTAAAAATATACCTAGAAGTGTTCCAAACTGTTGATTAATATTTGCGTTTGTTCCTCCCGTTGAATTCTGTTGATTTGCTTGTAGTTGTTGTGTGGAATATTGCAATAGTTGTTCACACCAGTATAATATTGATTTTTCTATGGGTGTTAATTGTTGTAAATAACCTTCACCGTTCTTTTGCACAAAATCATACAATTTTTTAATTAGATCAATCGATATCATTTGAGCAAATACATCAGCTAAAACATTAGGGAAATAGAAGGTACTTTTCTTTTAAATAACGATCCTAATTATTTATTATTTACCCAAAAATAGCATGTAAGGTGCTTGTCTCAATCCATTACCCAAGCCACTATTATGATAAGATAATAATAGTCGGCATAGTGAATGTACTTTTTTTAATAATGAAACAGATGCTTGATCAGCACAATCTGCTACAGACATGATTAGATCAGTCAATGCATTTGATTTATCTGAATACAGTAGAACACGTAGTGCTGCTAAAACATCGTTCAAACGAAATGATGGCAATGGATTTGATAAGAAGAATGTGATGGTAGATGAGACATCTTTGAGAGAATAAACGCTTAATGTTAATATTGCTTCTGAACGTTTCATTGTAATCACAGTACAATGAGTTGGTGTTATCCCAGCTGCTTGACAATCGTTCCCTAAATTAAAGACAAAGTAAATAGGACACATTTTTCGCACTGACTCAATTTATTAGTGTAAAAAATATGTAAGGATTAGTTATTCATTTCTTCCTGTAATTTTCCTCTCTCCGTTTGTAAAATAATAATCACAAACACGAAGGATAAATCGTCTTAATTAACAAGCATGAAAAACGTACGTATTATGCGTTGAGCATACCATAGACATTCAATGGAGACTTCATTTTAGTACGTTCTGCTGACGAGGACTACATACCGTTTGGTGTCAGCTGACAGTATTGTTCAAATCTTGTTGTTTGTTGTCCGTGATGTTGATGTTGTGGATCTGCTAGAATGGTTTGGCGATGGATATAACCATCTCTACATATTAGAAATAGATCTTGTTGTTCATTTAAGAAATGTGTTAGAACCGCTGAATTTAAAGCATATTCATTAACAGTTTTAATTGTAAATTGCGAACATGACGAATTATAACCAGTCGATGTTATATTGAGAGTAGCGATAACGATCGAGTCCATTTGGGCAAAAAATAATTTATATTCGCCATGTTGTTGATACAAAGCGATATGATGAATACGAGCACCATTCGACACTAAATGAGGAGACTCTTGTTTCGTATAAGCTAGCAAGGGAGCAGATTCATTTCCAGTGAGCGATATTGATATGAGACTAACATGACCATGTGATGAACCCAAGGCTAAAAGAAAAAATAGTAGAAAACAAAAAATTCTTTGATAAAAAACTTATTTTTTTTAATATACCTAGTATACCGGCTGTATCTGATAGCGATAGCCACGCCATGGCTGATATTGAATTATGATTTGTTGGTGGTGGGGACTGTTGTAGCTGGAGAGCTGGTAGTGAAGATGTTTTGTTCGAATAATGATTTCCGTTGAGCGTAGGAGGCGAATGAGAGTTTGACATTTTTTGCTTTCCTCCCGAAGATTGTTGTTGTGGGTTATTATTGTTATTACAGTTTGTCTCTGTTGCATTTGGTTCGAGAAGTGCTGCATAAGTTAGAGTTAAATTATTAGTTTGTTGTTGTTCGGACAATTGCCAAATAGCTACATGACCCGATTCCAAACCACAAAATAATAGGACGAATCGAGACGGAGAATCACGACGTAAGACAGATGACCATCCCAGACATGATGGAACTAAAACACAAGATGTTCAATATTAAAAAAAATCAACTTATGCGTTCATCTATTTGAAGCCTGTTGTCTGAGAAAGGTATGTAAGCTAAAAATCTTTCTCTTAAAACCAACGTGTTAAATTCTTTTCCTGTGAGACCTTAGATTATAAGAAAAAAAAAACGCTTGTTTTTTTCTTTCCTCTTCTTAACCGTTCTTTACTGAAGAAAATTCCTAATGTTTTTTTTCTTTATATTCTTCGAGAGAAAAAGCAGACTTCATTCAAGAAAAATCTTGTTACATTTTCTTTTATGTTCTTTCCCTAACATTTATCAAAGAAAAAAGTAAACCTTATATTTTCTTAAAAATCTTTTTTTCCTAAATATTAAAAAGCAACGTATATGTAAAAGAAAAAAACAAGGAAGAAAATACCCTTTTTTCTCGTTTTTTATTTCGTTCTTTTTCTTTTCTTTCTCTACTACACTTTTCGTCTTATACATCTGTTCAACAATTTCATTTATTCTTTTGAACAGAGAAGTGATATCGCTCTTAAACCATCAAGTGAGTATGCATAATGCGATTGAGAGAGCTAAATGGTATTTTTATTTTTACTCAACATAAAGAATTCAGATCATAAATATCATAAACAATGGTTTCAGTTGTACAATTAGAAACGCAAAATTTGAAAATTTCAGGTATTGTTTTCGTACAGGCTGGCTGATTTTTATTCCTCATTAACCCTATCGATGGTTCATGATAGAACTTTAATTCAAAACCTGAATGAAAAAAGTTAAACACAGTAGCTATGAATCGTTGCTTTCGTTACCAATTAAAAGAGAGTTAAATTATTAAAAAACTGAAAATTCAGGTTGGTAAATCCCATGCATCGTTTATAATTACAATGATTGCGAATTATAATTTTTCCTAATAAAGAGAGAACACGACCATTATGCGAAGAAAAAAAACATCTAAAAGAAGACGAATGGAGCAGAACAAAAACGCCAGCAAAATATAAATGAGAGAAAGAATACATAGAACTAAGAAAATGTCAAAAAAGGGGGCCAAATTTTCTTTTTGCGTATAAGCCGCTCCATTCCCGCAAAAAAACTGTCAGAACCCATTTGCTAAAAAAAATTGAACTTCTGGCACATGGTTTCTCTTACAAATCATACCTAACAGTGCTTCTTCATCGCGTGATAAACCTTGTGTTGAATTTGTCGTTGTTCCATTTGTAGTCGTTGTTTGTGAAGATGCTGAAGGTTTTGTCGATGTTGTCGTTCTTCCATTTCTTTCATCTAGTTGTGATCGCCATCTTTTACTGACGTTGAATAATACCACAGGTGACTCTTGATTTGCATCGCATATTACTAGTTGACCGGTTGATGATGCCACAGCTAACAATCTTGCACCATCCGGTCGTAGTGAATCTGGACAGAATAAAGCTAATGGGGTATAAGTATAATATCGCAAATCATCTTGCTCTAAATGTTGATCGAGTTGAAACCATGAAACGGTAAATAGTTGAACTTTACGTGATGAATGACCGCTAAATGTGAGTAGTGTGAAACCGGTTGACGAGGCTATAGCGAAACGACTCCAATCGGAACACGATATTGCGCCATCTTTTAGAGAATCAGATGTTTGAAAATGTTGCTCCTCTAACAGAGAGCAATCAAAACTCATTGTTCATTACCTGAAACAAAAAACAACAACGAAAGGTGAGATTTGTGCACTTGTATTCTAGAGAAAAAAAATTGTTCACACAATGAATTGGGAAGCTGCATTTTTATCGTGTTCAACAATACAAAAAACTTTGTAGTAGTAACAACTGTTGTCTTTGCTTTCTTGGAGATTGAGAGGTATAGTTTCAATTAAAAGTCTATTTCTAACAGTTTTTCAAAACAGAGTGCATTACTCATAATGTATCTGTATGTGCCTAAGTACCGGAAATAGTTGAAACACTTGAAAAAACATAACGTGAAGCTACCTTTCTCTCTTAAAGAAGTGGGATTGCGAAAAAGAATTTTTTTCATTGAATCAGAATCCACAGAAAGTATGGCTAAACCCATAAATGTTTACCTTTCAATAGATAGAAAAGATCAAAAAAAATCAACGTTTTCTCTCTAACTCTCAGACTTTTTGTATGTTTACTTTCTCGTAGAAGATAATAAAAAAAGATAACAGTAAGAATAACAGATCAGAAACCAGTCGTCAAATTTTTGCTAAGACATTTTAGAATAAGAATACAAATAATCAGGCATAATTATTTCGATTAAAATATAAATAGATATGAAAAGCATAATTATTAATATTAAAAAAATTCCGTGTTTGCAACTAATCAATGACGAAAGGACGAAAAAAAAAGAAAAAGTATTTTCATTTTCATCTTTTTTCTTTCTTTTTGCTTCCATAACTACCCATCTTTCGACAAAAAAACCTCCAGAAAATATTAAAAAAATATATGTTTTTGTCTGGGTGCGATTGTATGCTAAAGAGTTTTCATTGTCAAATTTTCTACACTCTTATGTGACTGTTTCTTGAAGAAGTCATACAATACCCAATAGATGACACTAGTAGTACTTATTAATTTCCTTAATTAAGTATTTGTTTTCTATTATCGAACAAATCTAGAATATTTAGACCATATTAAGCAAAAGTTCAAGTTATGGCCAAGAAATAACTTGTACGGCCCGTGTAGATAGCCCTTCAGATAATCTGTGGCAACACTATCGCTGTTTGTAAAACACTAAGGTAAAACGTGCTTTTTGTATGAGGAAAACGCTCTTTAGTTCTATGAATCCTTGCTATTCATTTTTCGGTCTTGAAACGAAAAGACTTTATTTTTCATGAATTCTTTCCTGAAATCATACATGCTTATTGATGTCAAACGGCTGCTAAGAACATCTTTGATGGCGAAAAACATACGATCGATATATCGCTATTACGTCTCATCATCCTTCTTTTCGGAACAGATGAATAATCAATTCACTTTTCGTTTCTTTCTTGATTTAGAGATTTGAAACCATCAGCATCATTTGCGCTCGTAGTTACAAGGTTAAATAATACTCAGATATATAAGATATTTTTACTTCATTTTATTACAGAGTTAATTAATCCACTTTTTTTTCCTTATTTGGTCGGCTTCTCTACGTTTCAGCTAATTTAGTATTAATTTGATTTATTTTATAGATTTGTTCAGCTCTATATTCTTAATTCTGTCACAGATCTCCATCCATCTACTTACACATACGTTCGTTTAATCTTTTACTCACACTATCTTCATCTGTCGAAAATCGGTCAGTCATGGGTAATATATTTGCTAATTTGTTTAAAAACCTTTTTGGTAAAAAGGAAATGAGAATATTGATGGTTGGACTTGATGCTGCTGGTACGTACGAGATGTCAAAGGATGGTTTTGCCAGTACGATTAACTTTTGATTCTGTTGTTTTTTTAGGTAAAACGACCATTTTATATAAACTAAAATTAGGAGAAATTGTTACAACTATTCCAACTATTGGTAAGCAGATGGTCCTGTCCAAAGTTACTTTTCTATTTGAAAGCGGTTCTTGCGCTGTAGATTTGTAAACGACAGAAAGAAGCAGAGATGCACGAAGCTCGCTTTTTTCGACCTTGTCTCGCGTTGCCCTGCAAATATCTGTACCACTATTGATATACAGTAGAATATTCCACAGCACGACGCAAAGAGAGTTATTTTCAGCATATATTTCAGATAAGTAGTAATTTTTTGGTTTGTCTCGTCTCGTCCCACCATGAAAACTTTCGCATCAACCCTCGTAATTCTTTAAAAATACTATCATTTGTCTCACTTCACGAATCTTGTGATGTTCCATGCACTCTGTTCATCTCTGGAAAGAAGCTCTTTTTGGTTTTCTGCCACCTGTGCTTATAAAACTAACAGGTAAATGGTTTTGTTTTAGGTTTTAATGTTGAAACTGTAGAATACAAAAATATTAGTTTCACCGTTTGGGATGTTGGTGGACAAGTAAGTAATTACCGCTTGATTATTCATATTTGCTCGAATATGTCGGTTCATAATAAGTACAGAACAATAATACCAGCTTGAATGTTACTTTGGAGCAGCTAAAACTAGAATAGATTAATAACGAATACGAGTTTATTACGTTCGATAAGTGCACGCTGTGTAGCAACAACAGAGAAGTTGCTGTTATGTAATGTCTAACCATTTTTTCTATTATGAAACTATTCTTTGTTTTAAGGACAAAATTCGACCATTATGGAGACATTATTTCCAAAATACACAAGGTAAGTGTCGATAGAACGAGGATAGTTTTGAACTGATGAACTAGTTTAACCGGTTTGTGCTGATTTTGTTTACGTGATCGGCGTTCTTCTCATAGTTGATCGAGTTTACTTACTCTTATTCGTATCCCTTATCTTTGGCCTTTTAGCCATTTCTTACAGTGTTTCAATACATCTTGACTTTCAAAATACTATCTGTACTTATTGTTTGGGTGTTAGGAGGTATCCCTTTCGTTTTATAGTTACGTATATATGAATAAGAGTTCAAGGATCTCAGTTCTTCTATTAAAGTAGTGGAAAAAAGTTTAGAGGCAAACTTGTTTTTGTTCTTTCTCGTGAATCCTAGTAGCTACAATAAATCTGAGGATAGGTTCGTACAGCGCTGACTTTGATGTGTGCATATATATTCAAAAAGTCTCAACTTAACTTTAACGTGCTTAGAAAGAAAAGTTTCTTAGAAATCCAGGATCTCCAAAAATCCTACTTAAAAACCCAATGTAAACATTTTTTCCATCCTTCAGTAAGATAGAGCAAAGACTTCTCTTCAAAATGAGATATTCTACAGCTGTCCACAATTTTTTTTCATTGAGTTATGACTTTTATACTACAAACTCCAAAGCGATAATTAGCCCATCACAGCTTCTTTTTCATAACGTTGCTGAGGTTTCTGCTTGTGAGGCTTTTGGTGTAAAAGTCATAACTCAATGCAAAAAGCTTATCAGCGCAGACCTTGGATCTAAGGTGTAACTCACCCCCCATTCAAACGTGAAGGACTAAGGTGGGACTGTATGAAACCCATGCCTCGAGTGTTTACGTTTACGTTAATTTGCTTTAAGTGAATTAAGATGTGTGCTTCGGAATGTGTATGCATTATGCATTCCATACTCAACAATGTCATAAGACATATAAATATAATTGAACGCCATAGATTAACATACATTTACGCGCTCAAATTTGTCCGCGTATACAATGTATATTCAGTATTGTCCGTGAGTCGCGTACGTCCGCAAGCGTTAGGATGAAGGGGCGAATAAAACTTTTAGATTTCTGTCATAATCTTCCTGTACAAACTTTCATTCCTTGTTCTTCCTCTTCCAGAAGAATTCAGGGGAAGAGTTACACAAAAGGTTGTGGAGAACTGCGGAATATCTCATTTTGAAGAGAAGTCTTTGCTCTATCTTACTGAAGGATGGAAAAAATGTTTACATTGGCTTTTTAAAAAGTAGGATTTTTGAAGACCCTGGATTTCTAAGAAACTTTTCTTTCTAAGCACGTTAAAGTTAAGTTGAGACTTTTTGAATATATATGCACACATCAAAGTCAGCGCTGTACGAACCTATCCTCAGATTTATTGTAGCTACTAGGATTCACGAGAAAGAACAAAAACAAGTTTGTCTCTAAACTTTTTTCTACTTAGACATTATTATCTTGAACTAACTACTATTTTTTCCTTCGTTTAGGCCTAATTTTTGTTGTTGATAGTAATGATCGTGAGCGAATTGGTGAAGCACGTGATGAACTTCAACGTATGTTAGCTGAAGACGAATTAAGAGAAGCTGTTTTATTAATATTTGCCAACAAACAAGTAAGCCTATTCCATCTATGAGAGTATCTATTTCAGTCTAGCCTCTAGTTCGTTTGTACCCACAACAGATGTTTGGTGACTATATCTCAAGATTAAAAGCTCAATTGTTTCTTGTATAGGATTTGCCAAACGCCATGAATGCAGCTGAAATAACGGATAAATTGGGTTTACATGCATTACGTAATCGTAATTGGTATATACAAGCAACATGTGCAACAAGCGGAGATGGACTTTATGAAGGTCTTGATTGGCTTTCAAATCAATTAAAAAATGCAAAATAAAATGAAATTAATGGTAAAATAAAATAGAAAATTTAAAAAGCCATAAGGAACATAGGACAACTATAAGCCGCCTTTTTTTCTCTGTTTTACTTTTTGATCTTAATATATGTTATATTCTTTCCATTTTAAAAGAGAGATCAGCCAATACACACATTCACAAGTTTAGTTTTAATCAAAAGTGGATATTTTTAGAAAGAGAGAGTAAGAACAATCTGTTATCCATTTATCTGTATCTATCTATCTATCTATCTATCTATTTATTTCATTTTTTTTTCGTTTTTGTTCTTTTTTTCATCGTTGTTGTTGTTGATGATTAATGTTGCACAGACGCACATACACTCAAGAATCTGAAAAAGCTGTGCGCCTAACATACACATATTTTCCATTGTTGGTTCGATTTTTTTCTTTTTACATTATTTGTTAAAACAATTTTTCGTGGTTGGGTTAAGAAAAACATTAAAAATAAAGAAAAACAGGATGGGAAATGGAGATAAAGCGTGTTTTTTTCAATGTGTTAATGTTGTTGTTCGACCGGGAACAAATTTTATGTATATTCAAGTATTGTTAAATAAATTTTATAAATTCAACGATGTTGGCAGCTGAAAAAGAACGAGTTACTTACTTTTTTTTAATGAAAACAATTTACTTAGAAGAAGCGGCAGTCTCTAGTTTTCGGTATTACTCGCAGCTTGATCTTACTATCTCATACACAGATTTATGTCCTGTCAGTAATGTCAGCGAGTAATCTTCCGTGAATAAAATGCAAATTTTTCTTCGATGGTAGCTGATAGTCTACAATACTTATTTATTTTATATATTTTGAGAGAGATATCTGAACTAAATACGGCCATTTTCAAACTGTCATCATTGGCTGACAGTGTAAAAAGATAGCCACTAGTCGGACTAGTAGTAATGATTTAATACTACCTTGGAAATATTGGATTTGAAGCAGGCCCGTAGCCAGGGAGTTGCCCGTTGTGCCCGAGCACACCCCGTAAGTGAAAATTGCTATCTAACTGCTAGGAATCAGAACCGGTATAACCAGAAAACAAAATGGAAGAAAACCGGTATATCGATTTACATCTATAGCCAAATCCTGGCTACGGGTCTGACTTGAATCATTACCACAATGACGAAATCACGATTAATAACGGGCGATTTATCGAATAATGCTCATGAAAATTAAGCACGATATGCCTCATACAAAAAAAAACTTCAGCGCGCACTGGTATCCCACATGTACTGGTAAACACATTTTTGTAGGAAATCATGGAAAAGTGAATTATATCCTTATTTTCAAACCTGATCATCGTCTATTTGTTTTCGCTTTGTTCATTTTTAGGTCTTCTTTATTGCTTTTTATTCATGTTGTTTCTACTTTTTTTCAATTGAAATCCAATCTAATGATGTTTAATTCACAATTACAGATGGATTTTCCACTATTTATTACATTTGTTATTATTCAAGATATAGTTTCTTGTAAGTATATGCGGTATACTATTAAATCATTTGAGAAAAGTAAAAATCCTTAGAAAAACTTAGACTTAAGTAAAATCTTAGAAGTCTCTGTTAAAAGTACCACAGAAGTACTGTCAAGAACAATCAGCGTTTAGAAATACTTTGATTATGTCAGAATATCGCTGAAATTTGGAATGTGACAAATTTCTTTTGTACACCGTATAAAAGTGGCATTTCGTTTTTATTTCTTTTGCTCTAGTTCGCGGTAATTTTACGTCTGTTGAAAGCGATAAATATGGATGATTTGATCGAGATCCTACATTAAACGGCTTCTTTTCATTTTGGAGCTTTGTTTTACTATTATTATCAAGTATGTGTACGGCCCGCCTCGTCCACTGAAGTTTGCTACTGCAAGTGTAATTTTGCCACGGTTTTCCACTAAATTACTCTTAGAACTAGACTACTTTTAGAAAAACAGTAGTCACATTTCGTTGGAAAGAAAAGATAAAGCTGGACCTAAGCGAATTGTTCAAAAATTTTCGTTCAGGCGAAAAAATTAAAAGAATTTCACTGTCTTTTGACAAAAAACTGAAGTTAAGAAATATGTATGTTTCACATTTTTTCGTCTGAACGAAAATTTTTGAACAATTCGCTTAGGTCGAGTTTTAAAGAGCTTCGACTTTTCTTTCCAACGAAATGTTATTCGACCCTCTACTGCTTTTCATCAAAAAGTTATGACCATTTTAATTTAGTGAAAACCGTGGCGGAATCACACTTGCGATAGCAAACTTCGGTGGACAGACCGTGTACACTATCTCTGTTTCATGACGTTACTTCAGATTCATCTCCTCTCTTCTATGGATATTTAGTGTTATTCTTAATTATTAATGCAAATGGTATTATCGGCTATATGATTGGTTACAGGTCACCACCTGAGCGTTTTCGGCACATATTAGATCCAGTCACATTTTATCCAAAAATATATCCCTTTAGCTGAATACATGTCATTTTTTCTAAAATTTTTTGTCAAATCTGATAATTTAGTAATATTTTTTGCTTTTTTTTATCTATAGGAACGTTTTCAGATAAAAGTCAGTGTTGATCATATATATAAGCATTTCAGCTTTTCGCTCGAAGAAGTCAGATAGAGTTTGAGGTTTTTATGAACCTTGTCTACTTCGATTATTTTTATACTGAACTGTAAATAGTCTTTTATCGAACAAATTTTTGTTAATCTATTTTGTATACTATCTCATAGTATAAAAATCTTAACTCATTGCTTTATTTTTTATAAAAAAATTTGTTTTTGTATGTATCTGTTTGTCAATACTTTTTATTAATAATAATTAGAATAATTTGCATAGCGTTTACGATGTAAAACGTAGTTGCCAACTACTTCTGGTACACTTACTACATAACATACGAATAATATAAGTATTGTTAATGTGATAACGTAACGTCTACAGAACAAAATAGTTCTGAGTATCAATAAATGTCATAGATAGAGTACTTAAAATAGAGTTGTATATCCTTAATGTTCTTCCTCTAGATAAATTTTTCTGCGATGTTTTTCAATGAGCATAGACTCTTCTGAACATTTTCCTACTTGCGAATATCTAAAAAAAACATGTCAAAAATAAATGTGTGTGCTTGACAAAATCTTGGTGTCGTATAACGTAGTAATTTCAAAAATGTGATTTTCAAAATCACTTGAGTTTCTCAATGTCAAGAAGTTATTCGTCGTTTTGTTCTGCATGAACAAGAAGAATTTGGAAAATTTTCTCTCGGTGAATGATCCATAAAGTATCAGCGGAAGTCACTATGAGAGTGCCAATGATGGCACGACCTAGAAGGACAAGTTTAATTAAACGTTTGTGAAAATTTCAGAAATACTGTGAAACATCCAGGATTCTCTCATGCTTTCCATCAAAATACCTCGGGATTCGCTAATCAAAATCTTGTGAAACTTTTTACGCGAATTTGAGACATAAATGTCAGTGTATCACCAGACAAAATTTTTGGATCATTATCGATAACGCGGTCAAAGGAAGAAGTCGATAAAAGAGTAAAACAAATAGAGAAATGATGTTTTTTATACAACTTAAGTAGATAACTTTGTTTTTTACATCATTTTGTTTTCTTTCTTATCGAAGCATAATATTAGCTACAATGTAAAATTCCAGTTAGTTGTTCAGTTCAGAACATCTTGATCCAACACTTCCTTTAAAAATGCTCAGCTCTTATTTGAATTTCATGTGTTCCTCTTCTCTTTTTCCTTTTCTTTATCACTATTTATCCCAATCTATATTTTTATATCTTGTCTCGCTGTCTAATATACAAAGAGAAGTGGTATCACTCTAAATAGGTCTATTTAACATGTAACAGATGTGATTTTTTTATTCTACTCTATTTATTAAAAGTAATACATTGATTATTGCTAAAAATCTAATCACATACTCTTTCTTTCTTTGATTTTTATTTTTTTTTGACCTATCCCGAGAGCTGTCCAGTTATCATTATCTAGATAATAGCTATATAACACGCAAGCCCGTTAAACCTTTAACTTCCGGCGCACAAAGCATAATAAATCTTTAAGCATATAAGCAGATCGAAGCTATGCACACTACAAGTAATAGAAAAATCAAGTATTAGGAAAATAGGGAAAATAATAATTTTAGAATTTAAGAAAACAAGGCTTTAAAGAAATAAGTATCTAAGGAGATCATGGAAAATTCGCATTCGTGGCGAACGGAATTATTCTTTACTATTTCTGTATGCAACATGTCTTCATACTGGCTATAGACTTACAATGTTTATTTATTTCTCCCAATAGTGTAAGTCAGAGTCGATTCCGAATTCTGTCTTATTTTTCTGATGGGTCTAGGTCACCAATTAGGTTAGGTAACGACCGATTGCGAATTCTGTCTTATTTTCTGACTACTATCCGTTTCAAAATACAACGTACTCGGTTGTTTTCTGAATAACTTTTGTTAGAAAAGAGACAAAAGCCTGCGATTTTTAGCATTATATAGCCATGACTTTAAGACATACTTTTGCTAGCAAAAAATAGTTTTGAAAAAATTTCAAAGGCCGATTTTCCATCAGATCTTTGGAAAACCGGCTCGGTTTTCCAGAAATTAAAGTACCAATCTGTTGATTATTTTACATAGACAGATAGTCCGAAATGTCTTCTATAAAATGAGATCTAAGCGACCTTTTAGTTTTGCTTGTTTTTTCAGGGGACACGGTTTTTCCCGAACCACACAGACTGGACTTTCTTCTGGTGTGACAATCTCAAAAACACAGAATACATAGATAATCGATGCTCGTGACTAACGTGGCAACGTTTATTTTCCTATAAAAAGTAAAATTAGTTTGACTGCTGAGTTGGAAAAACCGTAAGTTTTTGTCTCGTTTCTAATAAAGTTATTCATAAAGCAACCAAGTACGTTGTATTTTGAAACTGACAGTAGTTCAGGTCACTGTCCAGGTAAGGTAACGATCGTGAGTCACTCTCATAACATCTTTCCTCCTCCCTCCCCGACACCTTCACTTCGACACTTCGTGTCGAAGCGGAGGTATATGTTTAGAAAGATATGGATTCATTGAATAAATCCTTCGAAAATAGCTGGTATAGAAAACACAGCTGAAATACATAAGTAAAAAATTTAGGGACTACCAGGATCTGACTGTTTCAATACATACTAAAAATCATAAGAAACCTATATGGCGGATGTGTATTTTTCCAAGCGATGGCTGCAAAAAAACTCAGAATTATTCATAATAACAATTTATGTTATAAATTCGAAGTGTTATTTAACATAGATCTGTTTTCTCATTATCCTTATTTTCCCTATTTCCTTAGATCGCTATTTTCTGAAATCCTTAAATTCTTATTTTCCGTATGTTCTTAAACCCTGCGTTTACTATTGCAGAACTTCTGATAATCTCAGTCTTAGATGCTGATACAATAACACATTGCTAGGCACTGTATTATATAGATAACGGTAACTGGACATCTATTATAAAATATATTTTAGTACAAAAGTAAAATAGAAAGATAACATACGAAAATATAGAGTATAAAACGCAAAGAATGATTCGACAGGTTTTTTTGACACAGATTTCATGACAGTATGATGTTTATATCAACATAATTAAGACATATATATGAATATACTGCCGCTATCTTTCAACAGTTAATCATAACATGAAAAAATTACTTAATTATAGTTTAATTTAATGTTGTAATATTGAATCAAAATTCGCACCAGCTTACGGAGAACCATAAGGAAGAAGATCATAGTTAAAGTTATTGCGCAAGACTATATATATAGTCTAGATTATTGTGCAATATTTCATGTATAAAATATAAAATAACATTATTCGAAAAAAAGTGACTTATTTTGGATACAATGTCAGAATTTTGTCGGAATTTGGGAGAAGATGCGGCTACCAGTGTTTCGTCAGCTATGGCAATGGCTGCGAGTACATCGATTCGAATTACAAAGTTTAATCGTCCATCAACAATTCGCTCTCGTATTCAACGGCCACAACGTGAAGCAACAGCTCTAGATCATGATGATGAACTGTTAGAATATGCGATGGCTGTAGAACAAGAAGATGAAGGCGACACGGATAACAATAATCGTATGAATGGAGATGATGAAAATTCAGATGAAAGTGTCAAACCATTTCGACTCGAAGATTCAGTGTTAGACGAAGAACCTAGTCTTGATCGTGGTTTAGCAAGTGCATTACGTCTAGCAGAACAAAAGGGTTATTGGGAAAAAGGCAAAGGACGACAAAATGCTCGTATGACAAGTGAAATATCGGTGAAACATTTCACTATTGAAGAAAAAAATTATTATGATATCGACGATAAATATGCACGACGTGACCGATATTCTGGTCCGTTGATAGATTTCAAAGAAAAGGAAGCCTACAGACCAGAAGTGAAATTAGAATATGTTGATGATACTGGACAACGAATGAATAGAAAAGAAGCATATCGATATTTATCACATCGATTTCATGGAAAAGGATCGGGTAAAAAGAAAGAAAAACAAACGAAAAAATTAATAGAAGAAGAGTTAATGAAAAAAATGAGTAGTGTTGATACACCGTTAAATACAGTTGCTCTATTACAAAAGAAACAAGCTCAACTACAACAACCTTATATTATTCTGAGTACAACAAGAATAAAATAGCAAGGACCACAGACCATTACAAAATCTTGGTAGGATTTTTATTTATTTTAATGATTTGCTTCTTTATTTACCTTATTTTCACAGACGTTTAATTTTTTTCCAGTTGGGAAACATAACTGATTTTGCTATTCTTTCTCTTTTCTCTTTATATTATATGTTGATATTGTTGTCTTTATATGTGTACATGTTGGCAAAACTGAAATTCAGGTAAATTTTAAATTTGCTTAGGCAAAACTTGAATCAAAAATTATAATTTGAGTTTTGCCTGAATACAATTAGACAAAATTAAAATCTTGACATCATCTAAGAATATTCCTGTCAGGTAACAGTCAACTATTACATGTTTCAAAGGAAGGAGAATATACCCAAAATAAGTCACTTTTTTTCCAATAATGTTGTCTCGAGTTCTATTACTGTGATGTTGCCTTGACAGTAATCCGGCTAGTGCACCAATGTTAGAGTCCACCGTTTCTGATAATTATGACCACCGTTTATTACAAACGAAATACTTCCCCCTTTAACAATAGAACCCGATCTATTTATACACGAAATATTGTGCAATAATCCTGATTATATTCTTGCACAATAACTTTAACTATGATCTTCTCCCTTATGGCACGACTCTGGTGCGTGATATAACACCACAGATCAAAGAAGCACGTGAAAATCTCTCTTATACCACTAATCGTTTCGTCTTTTATCTCTATTTAGCATCTTACAATGAATTAATTGGTTTAATCCTTTGGCGTCGGGGTTTTTTTCCTTTCAAAAAATATCTGAAACAAATTTTATTGTTATATAGAAGCATTTAGAAATTAGCATTTAGCAAAGCTTCAACACCCATATATGCGTGCCCCGGCGCCAAAGGGTTAATTAGATGAAAAACATTTTCATATGTGTACATTTTTTCCTTTTCTCTTTTTCTGTTGTAAAAAAATTACACAACTAAAATCTTCTGTAAAATTTTCTGTTTTCTTTCGTAGAATAGGCCTGGCGTTTTCGTTTGTTTTTTGCATTACGAAGGCAGTAAATGTGTTTTCAAAATACAAACAATGAAGCGAGCCAGACCTGCGGTGGTTCCTTTCTGTTGATATCACGATAATTACAAAGAGTTTTGGGAGTTATTTATGGACATTCAACGTTGAATTTCCAGTTTATAGAAATTCCTCCTCGACTTTCCAGTTTTCTCGGAAATTATTTATGGAAATTCGAGCTTGATTTTCTATAAACTTGAAATTCGAAGAGGAATTTCGATAAACTAGAAAATGCTCAAGGAATTATATATCGATTCTTTGAAATTCGCCGAGCATTTTCTATAAATAATTTTCTGCTTTACAGTGTACAACTTAAGTATTCTTGAGATACGAGAACATCTTTCGAAGCAGCATGATATTTTAATGTAAATACATTATTTTGTTCATAATTCTCATTCTCTACTGGTGATGATGTTTCAAGACATTTATGATAAAAATAAGCAGCTGTATGATATTACTGTTATGCCACGTACTAAAGTTGTGCCATAAGGGAGAAGATCATAGTTAAGGTTATAGTGCAAGCATATAGTCTAAGTAATTGCGCAAGAATATTCAAGGCTATGATGCAAGAATATTCAAGGTTATTGAGTCAAGGTTATGGCGCAATATTGCGTATATAAATAGATCAGTTTTACTGTTAAGAATAATCTTTTTTATTTGTAAATAAACTGTGGTTATGCACATCAGAATAGTCGGACCCTAACAATTACAATGCAAAAGTATGGTTTTAGTTAGCATTAAAATTGCACTGTCTAGTTCTGATGACTTGAAGAAAAACGATTCCAAGCTTTAGATTGTGTTTCTTCGGGCTACTGACAAATCGTCAAAAATCCTTTCGAAAAAGGTAGCCATGATAGAAAAAGATGCAGATTCTTAAGGAGGATATGTCGTGTTACTCTCTGGCAAATGTATTGAAATTTCGAGCTTCTATGAAAAACATTTCTTTGTAAAGGAGTTGTTTTTCATGACTTCAACGGTATCAGCATCTGTTAATTATGCATCTGTAATGTATTTGAAAATAGCCTAATTGTTGTAGGATGTTCTGATTAATAATCTTCTGTATTAAATAGATTTTATTGACAGTAGATGATAGGCTATCGTGCGGGAACGGTAAGTTAGCCTGTCCTTTGTACGCAACTAAGTCTAACAGGCTTCGTTTGTAGATGAAAAATGGAGCTTGATTAAAAAAATCTATGTAGTGTATTTGAATACATTTTCTGTAATTTTGATAAAAAGTTTGCCAAAATATGGAAAATCTACAAAATTTCTTTTTTCAACCGTACTTCTCATTTTAAAAATTGACACAAATCTCTAATTTATTTTTGAGGTAATAAAATCGTAATAAACACATACTCGTAGTCTATACATTATAAACTAGAGCCATTTGTCCAAAATATACTTTTTCAAATTTCTCTCTTGTTTGTTGAAGATCAGAATCATAATTTCTTAGCAGGTGTTCCTCCACTCACTACCATCCACATCCTCACATCTATACCACTTTGGAAATGGAATTTTTCTAAAACTATCTATTTAGAAACACTTCTCGTATTTTGATAAACTTATCATTAAAATCTCTTTCTCCATATATATTACAAAAAACTTTTTGTATATCTGCTAATATATAACAGACATGTGTAACGTATCTATTTGTTGCAGCATAGCTCAAAATTATCAATTTCATTTGAATACTGGAAAAATGTATAAGAAGAAGACAAAAGGTCGAACAAATAAACGATTTTCTTAGAAAAAGAAAACTGATAGATAAATTTTATTCTAAGCGTAAAAAAAATTAAATGAAAAAACATAGATGATTATTCACTTAGAACAACAACAAAAGAATGATATTATCATAAAAAAAATTTTTTTGTAAGAAAATAGAAAATATCAAAGATGTAATGAAATGTCTGATGCTACGACAGACGATGTACTAGCAAACAATAACTTTATGACTGTACAAATTAGAAATCATGCTCTAATAGTTTTAATAATGACTATCATAAGAGAAACAGATTGAAGTAAAGGATCTAGTTATGATGAACTTACTACTACTAGGTAGTACGATTTAGTGTGATTTCTTTACATTAGATATTATTTTTCGAAGCGGGACAGTCAGATAACGGACTTCAGGATATGATCTAGAATATTTTAGAAAAAGAAGATGACTAAAAATGATTGTTTGGCAACATGCTGGCGGAAATTTTATCGTATTCTCAACTTTATATTTTTTTGAAATTAGAAGATAATAAAAAGTTATATAGTTAAAACTGTCGGAAAATTTATAGACTTTGTACACTATAGAAAAATAATAGGAAATGAAAAACCAATAGAATTTAATCATTTTGGAATCGAGTTCAATGAGATACACAGAATAGCAATCGATCTGTTGAACTATTAGATGGGAATCATCTGAACCACCTCCGCTGATTACAACTCTTCGCGTTGTATACTTACGACATCTGCATACTTTATACGAACTTAATTTATGAAATAAAGATTTAGTTTTTGTGATGCTTGAGAAGTCCGGTATTATCGAAGATAAAATGAACAGTGTACCTGTAGTGCAGTGCTAGAGACTGCATATTCGTTCCAATTGGAAAGAATACGGCCAACATATAATCAACGATGAGCCGTATATATACTCAAAATTACTTTTTTTCAGGAAAAATTTAGGAAAAAGTCCAGATTATTATCACTCCTCCCTCTAAACGGTAACGTATTGCGACCTTCAGTCAACTATTCTCCACAGATGCATGCCTTAAAAAAGTGACGCCTTCACGAATAATCTGGAAAAAATTAAAAATCGGATTGTTCAAGTTCTTTTAAGAGCTTCTCTCTTCGGATAGTTTCTCTTTCATCCCGATGTTTCAGTATTGATCATACTGCGACATGATCAATACTTTTTTCTAAAATATTTGTCAAATTCAATGCTACATAGGTAATTTGTGCTTCGGAAGTAAAATACAATGACTGCGTCGCCAACAAAAACTAACAGTTTCATTATAAATAATATGGATGCATCCATTATCTGTTTCTGTTGTTATTCTTGTTCTGATACAGGAAAACTTATCTGTCCATCATCATTACATTACTGGATAATGTATAAGCACTCGGAAGCATTTCGTCGTTATGAATAAATGAAGTTTGATTGGTTTCGTTATTGGCTCTACTGGTATCTATCATCTTGATGGTTCAGATGTTTTCTATGAAATTTGCTTATATGATTTGAATAATTAACAGTATTAGTGCATGTGGAATTACATATTAGACAAGATATATAAATTGTTTTTGTGAACCATGAATACTTCGAAGGTGATCAACATATTTTTTCAACTGAAACGACGAAAATGAACAGCTGGAACACGTATGCCTACATTTTGACATCCTAGTTCATTGAAACAAATCCTATGTACAGCACTTTTACTATAAGTATGATAAAAAGACAGAAACTCGCAGCAGCATACAGAACACAAAAGATCTGGGGCCAATTTCTTAAAAAAAGCTAAGGCAAAAAAAAACAAAGAACTTTTTTGACTTAAGTTCAATTTTTCATTTAAGTTTTTTAAGAAACTGGCCCCTGATTCGACCGATAGCCGCCATCCAACTATCCAGATTATCTGCCTTATTGGGCGCTCTGTAAATTCGTGTTCCATATAGACGGGTGACATTTTCACCCACCTATGTGTGACATCATCCATCAAAATGGGTGATTTTTCTTTGTTTATCACTCATCACCCACTTTAGCAGTTCAAAAGTGTTATCCTACTGGGTGACCGGTAATCCATTCTTGTAGATGACACTCTCTACAAAAATGGATTACCAGTCACGCAGTAGGACTGCTAAAGTGGGTGATGAGTGATAAACAAAGAAAAATCACCCACTTCGATGGATGATGACACGCATAAGTGGGTGAAAATGTTATCCGTCTATATGGAACACGAATTTACAGTGTGAAAATGCACTTTGTAAAAATTATCACTCGCTTATGCAGGTGATCATCCATCTTAGTGGGTGAAATGACATCCACTTAAATGGTACATAAATTTTCAGTGTACACAGTCGCGAATTGCTGCGTTGTTTCTTTTTAGCTTGAAGGAGAGATTGTCTGCATCAATTCGCATTGATCTTGGCTCATTGGAGCTACTATTTGGAACTAAAAGGAAACAACGGAATTGCTGCTACAGGAATTGGAAGAGATTAGGCGTCAGATCTATAAATGGTCGAAAACCAAAAAGTAGATAGAAACTGATTTTGACGTATTCCCTTAATATTAAACATCTTATTGATAAAGATTGATGAACTGTTTTTTTGAACGATATTTGGAGCATACGTTTGATAAGAAATTACGATGATATTCGATATATTTTGATTCATCAAAGTTTTGTAACTAATAAGCAACATATGATCTGACAAAATCTTTTCCTCATTCTATTTAAAACTCAAGAGCGGACAGTTTTGAAAGCAAAAATTACTGCTATCGGTATGCAGACTTCTTCAAACCCATACTTTTGTATTATCTGTAATTTATAATGCATTGCATCATCATGTCTTTTTATTGCCTAGAATAAGGAGCTCTGTTGGCTCGTTCTTATTGTCTTTCTACTTATTAGTGTATCACTTTCTATCATTTTCTTTTCACTTATTGAATTTATACAACCCTCTTTTCAACTGTCACTATCGCTTCCATCGTGGTTTGAGTGAATTGTAATAGTAAAATTTATCCTAGTGGGATCATCGAATTTTATTTTTAGATTTTTGAATATATTTTTATTTCTACATTTTGTACACATAAAATGCCTGCAGTGCCAGCTGGCTATCAACAAGGACAAGTTGGAAAAATTCGTTGTTGGGATCGTGTTAAAATTGGTTTTGCAATGGGTTTTACAGTTGGAATGGTATCAGGAATCGTCTTTGGTGGTTTTACTGCACTTAGGTAATCAGAAAAGCACTTACATTTATAAAGAAGGATAAAAAACATCAGTTATCCGTATCAGTGAGTAAAAAAACCTCTTAAAACTGGTAAATGTATTCACTTGTCCGATCGAATGTTAGGCATATCAACACTCAAAAGAGGTTCAAAGTCATGGTATTCTTCTTGTTTTATCAAAAATCTCTTATTCTGCTAATTTTTCATTTTGAGGTACGGTTTACGTGGCAGAGAATTGCTATCTACTGTTGGAAAATCGGTTGTATCAGCCGGAGGTACATTTGGAACATTTATGGCTATTGGTGCAGCTATCAGGTGCTGAGAATCCTTATAAACAAGCAAAGACTTTTTTTGTGTTCTCAAGTGTTTATATTTAAAATAAAAGTTTTTTAGTTATTTTTTTATGTTATTATTTTAATAAAGAGTTTTTGAAATATGTTGTAGATCATTTTTTGCTTGATTGGTAAAAATCTAAAAAATCTTCTTTTAGATTGTTTTTTTCTAAATTATGTCATCTCAGGAGGATTATTTATTAACCCATAATATTGTTCGTAAAATTAAAGCTGATGGGCTATTTGACAGCATACGACGAGATTTACTTCAAGATATTGAGCAAAAAGTTGGTCATCCGATGTTCTTTTTCACATAGTAACAAATTTTTGTCGTTTTAGCCACCATACATCGATTTAAAATCACAAGTAGAAAATTTAATATCAAAATATTTGTCAGATACAGAATGGGATTCAACATTGAAAAAATCAGATTTAAGAGAAAAATCACGAAAATATGTAGAACAGTAAGTATTTTAATAAAAAAACCGACTTTTTTTATATTTTAATATGTTGCGTGAATGAAGTTCATTTTGAAGAAGAAATTGCTGATTCTTTTGCTTTTCTATTCAAGATCTAATTTGATTGATTATGTTTTGCCGTCAATCGTGAGCGAGTATATGGATAAATCGAATTCTACCTTGATTCAACCAAAAATATCAAATTTTGTACAAGAATATTTAGAACAACTTTTTGGAACCATCTGTAAGTTAATACACCTCTCTCGATCAGCGTATGACATTAATAACGAACGTTTTCACTCTATTATTTATTATGTACAAAACATCATTCTGTGTTTGATTAAAAACATTCGAATTATAAGACCGGCGCCTGTTTTTTGAATAACTCATTTGAAGAAGAGACTGCATGACATCTTTTTATAATAGACATCAGGTTAAAAACATTTTTTTGAAGTGGAATTTCGAGACCTTTGAAACACCAGAGCATAGTTCAAAAACTTCATATACGAATATTTTTGCTTTTCTTCATGCACAAATAGCCCAAAATGTCACTCTAAAAACATCAGGACCAATTGAAAAACTCATCAAAACAAACATTATCATTATATACAGCGTGGTCGATTATGTATGCTTCATGCGATTTTAAGGCTACCTGAAGCCACCGGGTATCAGTGTTAGGACTTCAAGAGAATTCAATACCACATCCGAACCACTAGAAAGCAAGGTCTTGACTCCCATTTTGAAGATGACATTTTGGGCTATCTGTTCATGAAGAAAAGCAAAAATATTCGTATATGAAGTTTTTGAGCTATGCTCTGGTGTTTCAAAGGTCTCGAAATTCCACTTCAAAAAAATGTTTCTAACTTGATGTCTATTATAAAAAGATGTCATGCAGTCTCTTCTTCAAATGAGTTATTCAAAAAACAGACGCTGGTCTTATAATTCGAAAAGGATAATAGTTTCATTAAAAATACTTTTAGATAACTTGAACACTTTTGGTGCTAAAATCTTTTCGCCTTTTAGCAAATGCTTATCATAGTCAAATGGGTTTACCATCGTCGTATCATCCTTCCTCTTCGCAACATCATCATCATATTCCACCACCTTCAGTTATTCCTTCTTCAACTTCTTCTCCAGAACAAGAACCTTTTACTCCAACAGCTTCGAATGCACCATCATTAAAACAACCTCATGATCAAATGAAACTTATAAATAAACCAAAAACAATGCAAAATAAATCTCAAATAAAAAATGAAACTGGCACAACAGGAACCATAGCAGCTGATGTGCCGATCAAAAAACTTGTTCAGAAAACAACAACGGATGTTAAAAAGTCTTCTACCATTCAAAAAATGCCACAAATCAAAAAGCAAGTTTCACTAGAAAAGAAAAAAGAGGAGAAAAAAATAACATCATCAACTGTAGTTAAAAAAGATGATAAGAAAATAAAACAGAAAGAGGTGCCTTCGAAACAAACAGTAACTGAAGATCGAAATCCCGTTTCATCCTCTTCATCGTCGACCATATCATCACCAGAAGATTCGAATGGTAGACAAGAATTATTACGAAGCTCTATTTCAACATCTAAAGAAGTATGTTTTCTATTAGTTAAACTATAATAAAAACTTGGTACTTTGTTTATTGATTTAAACTACGATGCATTTTATATTTCAAAGTATAAACGAGAATTGAGTTTGATATCTGTACACTATTTACTAATGTTTTGATGACGGTCTCAGTCGATTTTAAAGTTTAAGTAACCATGGAAAACTGTTACTTTCTAGAAAATATTTGATTTCAATGATGTACCAATCTATCGGGTAATTGTTATTTGTTTATTTTAGCCAAAGAAAGTGCACAAATCGCCAGTTAAAAATCAGTCTTCTGCAAAAACTGAACTGAAAACAACTGCAGCATCGCCACCATTAAAAACCGTTCGTAATCCTACTGTCGAAGAACAATCACCATCATCTTCGCCTGTAATTGAATCACCGCCACTATCTATTGTTCGTATTGCTTCACCTATACGTGAAATACCATCCACTGCTGTTCCATCAGTTAGTGTGCCTAATACACCTGTTAAACAGGAAACAGTAGATGAAACAACTGCGGCATCTATTTCACGAAAACGACAGCGTCAGCCTGAACGATTACAGAAGGATGAAAAAAATGAAAACGAAAAACAACAACGGAAAAAAAAGAAAAAATTATCAGACGATGCAAATAATGACAAAGAGGAAGGAGAGCAAAAGTTAGCCGTAGACGCGGACAGTGAAAAACAAGATGGGGAAAAGGTGATACTCAAAATTAAGAAATCGCGAGTTGTTAGCCCTTGTGTTGCACTTGGTGATAATGTTGAAAACGAAAAAGAACAATCAGCAAAAACCGATGAAAATGTACCGAATGATATGAATGTCGACATTAAAACATCATCGAAAGAACGTAGGTGACATGATTTTGGATGCAAGGGATTACTATTTTTTAATTCAGAAGAATAATGCAACATAGCACTTAGCGCCATGCAAGATGATAGAAATTATTAAACGAATTTAACACCTGTTCCTTTCAGTTGTAGAACGATTTTTTTTTACCTTTTCTCTAGCAAATGTTGTTACACCGTCATTAAGTATTCCCTCAACAAGTTCAATACTTCCAATCCAACCCCAAAAATCACAGAACGATAATGAAGAAAAAACGCCACGTCGACTTCGTCCAAGACGGCCAAATCCAAAATATTCAAAAGAAGATTTTGAAGTCGTGTACGTTCATGCTGAAACTTTTTTACAGATTGCCCATTCATCTTTCATATTTTTCGTTTCAGCAATGTGCATACTACTACAGATCAAGCACCAGCGGTGAGAGTGGCTGATTTCATTGAAAAGAAACGTAACAGTTCTGATATGGCTTCTATCGTTCAATTTTTAGGTAGCAATCGGAAAACATCGTTTAAGCTCGAAATCTTCGAAAGAAAAAATTGAAAATGGGTAAGTAAACATGATAAAATGAATGTTAACAACTGAGCTGTTCATTTTTTTTTCTTTGTAAATATTATTGGTACTTCTAAACTTTTATTTTTTTGGGTTTAGAGCTGATAGTTCTCTCGATTCAATGCCAGTGGTAGGTTCATAACAAATAAGTCGTAGACCAAGTGAACTATCGTACTCTTTGTTTCTGTAGATGTCAACAAAAAAAACATCTAAACAGCAACAACAGTCCCCTCACAAACATCACTCGACGAACAACATTACAACTTCTCTTTCAGAGCCAACGCTTTTACCACTTCATCGTGTATCATCATCGAAATCAACAACGTCATCTATAAATGAAGATGAGGTCCCACTAAAAATAAATGAAAGTGGTGAAATGTCACCAGAATACGGTACATCAGAATCAGCATTCGTTACCTCAGAAAACGAAAACGTGAATGGTACTAGCTTATTCGGAGAATCATGTGTTTTCATAATTCATTTTTCTCTTTTTCTCAAGATGTTACTTTGAATAAAGAGCAACAACAAACAACACCAACCAATGAAACAGATAAAGAAGAAACTTTGTCTCTGACGTATAAACCATCTGAAAATGAAGAGACAAAATCAGATAAAAAACGTTCATCATCACCAAGAAGACTACGACCAAGAAATCAAAAATCAGTAACATCAACAAATGACGAAGCAGCTATACCACCACCACCACCACCACCAATAACAACAACAGCAAAGTTAGTATTTTAGTATTTAAGAGATAGTCAAAGAGTCTGAGTTGATGAGAGTTTAATTTTACTATCTCTCTCATTGAAAACACATTGTATAACTTAGTCAGGTCAAGTATCTTTTCATTTATCAAATAAGTTCTTATAAATCCACGTTAAGTATTTTCCTTTTGATATTTATTAATTCATTTTCTTTCGTTTGCAGAACAGATGAACCATTTCCGACAAATTCTGAACTCCCATCTGTGGTAAGAGAAAATTGGCTATTATTTTACACTCGCTTGATATAATATAATAATATAATATTTTTCGTCGTTTTTAGCCGAATAAAAAGTATCAGCGTCGTCGTACAACTGTCGGTTTACGTGATTCTACTCAACCCATAATTCTTTTTGATTGCATCACACCATCGCCACCTATAGCACGTGATAATTCAACAGATTCTCAACAATCTTCAACATCTCGAAAAAGTTGTCAACCATCTGCTATAACAACACCTGATCAAACTATGTCTGATCCACCAATTCGTTCAGTACCTGTACCCGATAATTTAAGCATACAACGCGCAACTACTTTTTCAAGTGATGAAACAAGCCGAAGTTCATCTCCAAACATTCTTAATGAGCAACAGTCACAGGCTGCTATTAATACTCTAAGATCAAAACCATCAAAATCATTCATTTGGAAACCAAAAATATCGAAATAAGATTTTTCATACAAATTGTTACTTTTCTTGCTTTTCTTTGTTATATCTTATCTAGCCTCTATATATAAACTTAGTCGTCAAATGTTTAAATAGTCATTCCATGAATATATATGTATTCAATATGATAAATAAGAGAAAGCCTATGTTCTCATGCAAAAGTTTTACCATTAGTAGTATATCAGGACTCCAAATGCATCAGTTCATCCGTCTGTCCGACTCCGTCCGGTCCATAGAAGACGAGCCGACATGAAATTCATGACGGACCGAGCCGGGTCCGACGAAAAGTCCGAATTATACGGATGAGTGTTCCTTTCATTACAGGCGTATATAGTAGCCTTTGTGATTGGACAAAAACTTCACTTATTAGCAAAACAAGTTGGATAATGACAAGGTCACGTATTTTTATCTCTCTCTGTTCTATTCCCCAGAATATCGTCAACAACAATTGTGATCAGGGATCTCAGATCTTCTGTAAGCAGGTATGAATTTAAAGTGCATATGCCAGTGTACATATGTTAACACAAGTGTAAAATGAGAATTGTTAGTCAATTTATAGTGTAATGCTGATTTTTATAAAGAAAGTTGCTTTATATTCTTTTCGAATATTTTATTATCTATTTATTATATAAATAGAAAATGAACTCGTCCTGCTGGAACTGTAAAAAATGCATCCTTGATCATGCAAGAACTGAATAGTTGAATGAATAGGTTAAGTCTTCTAGCTGTATAAAATTGTCTTGAAACATGAAATCGATGTTCCATCTACTCTTTGGCATTTTCAAGTTCTGTTGTATATGGAATGTAATGATTATAAATACTCACATCGAATGTATCGTCGAATTTGAAAGAGAACTTTATGCAAACAACGATAATGACTATAGTCACATTCACGAAGTGACTCTCAGTTAGTCCATCATTCCACGACTCATTAATCACATTGATTCATACATAATCGAGATAAATGAAAAAAAAAGTTTTTTTGAAATATAGCATGTTTGCTCTATAGCATGTTGCTTTTAGACTGCAAACCGAAAACGGTGAATGACTTGTCAAATCTTGAAATGGAAAAAAGTACAATGATTTTTATCTGTATAAGTTGTGCAAATTTTACCATTTTCGTCATTTTGCTCGAATATTAAAAAATGATTCTTGTGCATAATCGTATCGTAATTTATCGGAAACATAAGGTGGATAACCAATTTTTTCTAAAACCCAATTTTCATCTATTTAATTCTACATGCTAATGAACATTTATTCATAATCTATTTAAATATATAACATATTCACTATACATATTCACAGAATTCTGTAGGAACAGTTTAGTGGATTAACAAAAGTATATATGTCTAAATTTTTAGTAGTCAGCTAAGTTTTTAAGTCATTAAAACTTTACACTATTGAATATTTCGATCCTATATTTTTTCATATATGTATAGTAGAATAAAACCAGACAATCTTTTACTTTGAAAGTAAAACTGATACTCTCACCTTTTCATTTATGTTTACTCGTGACGAAGTATTAAGAAAAAAAAAGACAAGGATTTTGATAATATGTATGGTAAATATTTGAGTTAAATCAAAAAAATAAGTTTAAGAAAAACAACATCATGCGATAATATATTTTGAACGTACAAGAATTTGATAAAAAGTCGTCTTGTAATTGTAAATTATTGAAAAACCAAGTAGATTGCAATCACTGTAAAGACATACTTTCACCTATATTATAATTGGTGTACATCTATAGCCGTCTGAAAAAGTTGAAGGATGCTCAAATAGGCTTTAGTCTACTTATTAAATTAAAAAAATCTTCGTGATTAAAATTACAGTCATATAACCACGATTTTATCTATTATCATCATCTCAATTTCTATCTCTGCAACTAATTCTACAATGATGTCCAACAATGAATGTTGAATGATACGAATATAGAAATAGAAATATTTATAACAAAGATAATCAAGAAGAAACAAGTAAATTATCCACGTTGTACAGCTGGTTAAAAATCAATACAAATTACTTAAATATCTATTACTACGTTGATTTATTAGTATTTTTATTATGAGTATTTTTTTAAAAATAATTAGTGTTATACATTGTGTCAAATTACACTACACACATGCATACACAAATAGATTGCTAAAGTATTGCAAAAATGGACAATAAATAAAACTAAAATTCATGAAGAGTAACACACATATTCGCATCATGAGTTACATTTGTTACGTAGCTCATCAGCTTAATGCACACATCCTTTAATACCGTTTTAACAAACAAAAAAAAAAAAAAAACTTATAATTTCGACACAGAAATAGGAATAGGTTTTCTATCTACATTTAAAAACACTAGTAACAAAAAAAAAGAAGAGAATTTAAGAAGGTGAGTAAAAACAGATCTTTGACTAATCAGATGTAAAGAACGAGAGAAAGATTGAATAATGTTTTTGTAGATGCTTTTCATATATTATTTCTAACGTAATAGTAACATGGTGACAAGAATGAAAATAATCGACGATATGAATGTTAAAATTCGATTTTGTTTTAAATCAATTCCAGCATGATTACATAAATTTGAATTACATGAACAAACATTTGCTGAGTTTTGGCCAGCTGTTTTATAACAGGCACGATTTCCTAATCCAGAACCGCATGCACGAACAATACTTGTTTTTTTTTGAACTAAAATTAAATAAATATATATTGTCATTTAAAATACTTCCAATATTTTTGTTTCTTACCTGTTTGCACGATTTTTCTACAATATGGCTTTTCTTGAGCACACGTTGCTTTAAATGGTGACAATGAAGCGGCATCACCATTAGAACAAGCTTCATTTTCATTTGAATTACATTCATAACATTCTAATGATTCAGCAGAGTTGACGGATGATACTAGACAAAAAATATTAATCTATGCATTTCCGGTGTACAATATAGAAAAAGAGCGTATCAGTCACTGAAATTGGAGTCTTACATCGGATTAAATGGAAATTCTTAAGGAGAAAGTTGAAACTAAGAACTGAGTACTGTAGCTTCTAAAGAGGCTGTTGAGCATATATATATATGTAAAACAGTTCGATCTAACAGACTTGAGTCTGTTAATTGACTTGTATTTTTTCAAAGAAAAAAATAATTCATGACTAACCTTGTAAAGAATGAACAATATCCAGTTTATACTATTTGATTAAAACTGAGCACATAGTTTATTCTTTAACAAAAATAAATAGAAGGAATAAAATCGCACTAACTATTGTAAGCATGTTCCATGAAAAAAAACTCTTTGTTTGCTATTTGGTTTAAACTGATTGTCTGCTGCTATGGGTCGTTACATAACAATTTTAATCTGAATGGAAACCAGTGAATGATATCAGCTTTGTTTACTTACCTAATACACATAGAAGAACAATAACAATCATTAAAACTCCATACAGATACTTCATTCTGTCGCCTTCTCTTCAATTAAAAGTATTGTTCACTATACCTAAATTGTATATGATCTAAAATACATAAATGAAATAATTGATGTGAGATTCATTATCTCCGAATATAGACGAGATAAATTTCGATATAGTTTTTTTTAAAACTTAAACTACCAAACATCGCCAAATTAATCTTGTACAAATAGAGACTCGAACAAATAAGCTTAGTTTTTCAGTAAATTACAAAATTAAATTCACTATTTCTAACCTATAAAGTATATTTTCGTTTATAGCCTGATAATAAAAACATGTGTATGCTTTTACATAAGATAAAAAACTCAAATTTAGAGCATTAAAGAATAAAGAAGGAAAAAATCACTGTACCATATCTTAAAAAAAGCCATAAAAAAAAAGAAACGAAAGAAAAAAACGATTGATATCGCGGTTTTTTTATTTTTGTTTATAGCAAAAGAAAATTTAATATACATACTAAGCAAACGATTCCATTGAAGGCCAGCAGAAAATGAGATCAATGTAAATGTGTGTGCTAACAAAAAAGACCGCAAAAGCAAACACGTTCTGTTGTAAACATTTTTAACAATTCCAAAAATATACGGGTATAAACATTAATAATGGCATAACACTTCAAAAAATTGATAGTTACGTTCATACATTAAAACAGCTTTAAAAACCTATTTACGTACAGAAATGTGCTCTATACCATAGCTAAATAACCGATCGTCTTAAAACTACGAAGAAAAAACCCATGAGAGGATCCAAATATTAATAAGACTCAAGCAAACGGCAAGGGTGTCTTTTAGTTAAAGTAGTATAATCAACGTACACTCACATGAATATCAGCTAGTAGATGGTCATGTCCATGAACGGTAAAGGATTCTCTTTTTGAGTTTTACACATTTCTGATTTGAAAATTTTGTTGTCGATGTACAAAAAAAGAAATTGCACGGCAAACAAAAAAGGATACTGAATGAGCTCAATTTGTTATCCTTCTCATTCTTCATATACTTGCATGAGGCATCTACTCTCGAGTGTACAACAAGAAAACAAATGTGTGATGGAAAATAAGAAAATTTTTTAGTTATGATACCAAGTTATTCTTGTTATTATATTAATATTATTCATGAAAAGATTCCGACCTACAATAACACCCAAAACAAAAAATAGGAAACTAGTGTAAAAAAACCAGACAGAATAAAACAAATAAATGAAATAAAAAGAAAACAACCAGCACGTTATTTAAAGTATAAAAGGTCAGGAGGCGCTGAGCTACAACTTCTTTGGATGATCTTAAAGAAAAATGTTTGACTTCTAAAGATTATTTGAGCCAAAGACAGTTAAATAACAAACGAAGAGAAAACTGTATGCGCAGAAAAAACATGAGGTGAAATGCGAATATTATTATAGTAGACAGCACAAAAAGTAATTCGTTTCAGCCAAGTACATGGACAAGCCAATCATCCTTTTGTTTTTCATTGACAAGTTTTCTCCATAAACAGTTTCTCTTCCTTCTTTCGTTCAACTGTCGTTGACTGGAATAATCTTCCAGAATCAATCGTTCGTTCTTCTTCGTTATTGTCATTTAACACTAGAATGCCCGGAAATTTTCATGACCTAGAACGCCCACAGCGGTCATTCTGGCCATTATTCTTTTCATTTTTAATTTTATAATTACAAACGGTTCTGAACTCAAAAATGAATTAAAAATTCTGCAAAAACTGATTTTTGTGGGACAAATTAAAAGTTATGACATAATTTGTTTTTAAATAAATTTTATACAGTTTGTTTTATTAGGGATAAAAATCAAAAAACGGTCAAAATGACCGCTACGGGCGTTCTAGTGTTAAAATAGCTTTATCTCAGCATCTTTTCAGTAGAACATAGCCGTATTTACAGTTAAAAACAAACTGAGTGGTGTTACTCCGTATTTTATTTTGTTCTTTTTATTCTTTCTTTATTATCTCTCTGTTTTCGTACACTAATTTACTTTTTATTTTTATTTGCTATTTATAGATGTTGTTTGGCTCGAGTCATTGTTTTATAAGCCGGGGATCTTTGATGACTCTCACTTTTCGTGAATAAATCATTTATTCATTCACAAGTTGTATATAAACGTCACAATAACAATCAGTATAAACTTAGAAAATAAGTTTAGATATTTATGCTGACTTGCTTCATTACGTGTACCAAGAACTTTGCTTATTTTTTTTTGTTTTTCACAAATTTGTTCTTTTTTACTACTTCTGGTTCTAATCTTAGTTGTCTTGTTTATTTTGTTCTTTTTTATTACTCTTTTTGTGTTGTCTGGCTTGAGTCATTATTATTAAGGGTCGGTGACCTTTGGTGACGCTCACTTTTCGTGAATAAAACAGTCTTAGTCTTAGTCTTAGAACTTTTTTCAATTACTTGGCTTCAAGTACATTCACTAGGGGATCAACACAGTCAAAAGATTAGAAAAATCAAAAGACATCCCCATATACACTATACCAGCATCCAAAAAATTAGAAACAGTTTAAGATGTATACTTATACAGATATCTAATACTAGCGATCTGTGCCATGCCTATCCAGGTACGGCTGGATAGGAATCCATTTTACGCTAGCACTTTCCATATTTTGCATCACATGATGTAGGCGGCCATTTTAGTAAAATACTGATTATAACGCCTCAATGTACACATAACGAATTATTAAAAAAAAACAAGAAACTGCAATCATCTCAAAATTTCTGTATAAGTGCCTTATAAACTCTAAAAATTTGTAAAAAAAAGAAACCGCATCAGTGTCACCAAATTTGTGAGGGTTTTTTAATCATCGTAGAGCCAATGAGTAATCTGGATGATTTATTGATAAACCGTGGTTAAATTATTGAATCCATGGATAAGTTTGTGCACTGGGGGGCCAATGTATTTCTAGATTTATGGCATAACATGTTCAATGGGAAATATTCTAAGCTGTTGTCACTGCTGCCATAAATCATCAAACAAGTATAAGTGAGTATCTTTGGCTGAAATGCGCGATAAGTTCATATATGGAATACGAAAAATGTCAAAGAGACTGCAGAATAATTTTTGACGTTAATTTTCGTGAGCATTAGAAAGACGTTCTTAGAAACGGATAAGAGACTATAAAGAGTAACTAATAGCTCCATTTTTATTGCTCAATTGTGCATCAGTAAAATTAAAATTATATATGCATTTATTGAGTTTTAATGAATTTTCTCTTGTTAAGAACACCTATACTCATTGGTTGTGAATGTATGCTTCTTTCTAGCACCGCTTGAGGACCATAACAGTTGCCAATACCAGTTTGTTTCTTCAATCTAGTCAATTTTTATGATTGAAGCACCCATTATCTTTCTTTTTCGTTTTTTCTATACAGAAGATCTTGTAACTTTTGACTTTTTAACCATTTTCAGCACTAAAAAAATTTTATCAACTAATTCAACTTTGTACAATATCTTTTATTTAGAGAAAATGATTATTTACATAATCATAAAGAATTTCACCAACCTTCAGACAGTTCTCCAGCCTCTTATGATAATAAAACCCATGTATCTGAAATATATAAAAATAGTAAGTATAGTCTTATATTTTTTAACCAGTAACTTGTTTGTTTGTTTTTATTTTCTTGGTTCAGATGTTGAACTCGCTCCATCAGATAATCCGACAACTTCAACTTATTTCGCATCTATATTGCGTGAGTACACTAGAAAAAGTAAATAAATCTTGGACTATGTGCCTTTATCTTTTTTTGCCTCATCTAGATCCACCTAAAGAACAATTTGAGCGATCTTTTAAAGTATGTTTAACATTTAGCTGTCTTTCAATCAAGAAGCAATTTTACTAAAATGTATTTACTTTCTTAGTTTCATCCTGGCTCTGGTGATTATGCTCCAGACGCTTCTTCATCAAAAACGATTAGTTCAACAGCAAAAAATACAGTTAGTACTCAACAACAGTCCCGACCAGTTAATCTCAAAGCTATTTCCTCCACGTTCAGTACAAACAGTCAGCAACAACCCTATCGTTTACAGGCCCAAACTTCATCGGTCTCAGGGTCTTATAAAACAACTTCAACATCAACAAGTAATTACGATACTCCATCAGCTACAATTTTCAGTAAACACAGTAATTCTTGTTCAACAATCTATGTCGACGATTCTACTGTCTCACAACCAAATTGGAAAGCAATGATTAAATGTGTATCATTGGCTATTCACAGTCATATATACTCGAGAAAAGGAAATAAAACAATGGAAATATTCGACGAAAAATTGCATCCACTAACGGTAAGGAGAGTATGCGTCATACTTTCAGTTAAAGAAATTTTGTTATTTTTTTATTAATATTTATATTTAGAGAGATCCTGTACCAGATGATTATGATGAATTGGTTCCAGAACACAAAGTCATTTATCGATTTTTAAGAATTCTATTTACAGCAGCACAATTAACAGCAGAATGTGCTATTGTCACATTGGTATGTAGTTCCCATGAGTATTCTGTTTTAGTAATAATAAACATACCTATTAATTTTAATTTTGTAACTAATTTCTACTCAGATTATAATTTTTATGTAGCGGCCGATTGCAGCAGATAGTTACCTTAAACCAAATAGTAAAACAAAGAGTTTTTTCCTCTTTCTAGGTTTATCTTGAGCGTGTATTGAGTTATGGTGAATTGGATTTATGTCCAGCTAATTGGAAACGACTTGTTTTAGGTACACGGTGTTGGTGTGAGTGTTTTTTCAATATCTTTAGTTTTTATTTCGTTTCTATGAATAGGAGCTGTAATGTTGGCATCAAAAGTGTGGGATGATCAAGCTGTATGGAATGTTGATTTTTGTCAAATATTAAAAGATATTACTGTACATGAAATGTAATGATCGTAAAAATCCTGATAAAACTTATTGCAGTATCTTTATATTTTAGGAATGAATTGGAACGTGAATATGTTCAATTATTACAGTTTAATGTTAACGTTGGTTCATCCATTTATGCTAAATATTATTTTGATTTAAGACAATTGGCGAAAGAAAGCAAAATTTCATTTCCAGATGAATTATTAACGAAAGAAAAAGCAATTAAACTTGAAGTAGGCTTAAAGAATGCGATGAATCTTTTTTTTCTTTTTGTTTTTTAAATTAATTGATAAAGAAAAAGGTGAGCACAGATATTTTTGAACCTTGGCTCTATAATGGAACTGAGGCGTGGGTTCCTGTGCTAGAGAAAAATAACTGTAGTTCATTGCGATACATGTCGGTTAATTCTGCACATGTCATATTAATATTACAACATATTCCAATCTAAAAGTTTGTTAGAAAAATATTTGTGTAATCCTGTTTGAAGTGTATGAAAGCGATATAATTCTCTTTATAGGCAGCCTCTATGATTGGTAATCGTTTGAATCACACGTCGGCGAATGTGTCTGGTAGTGGTAGCACAAATAATAATAGTGGTAGTGGAACTGGCGGTCAGTTATCAGTATTACGTCGTTCAGCAAGCGTCGAATTTATGCACTCACCAAGAAAAAGTTTATTAATTATATCATAAAAAATTCATGGCTCAATTTATCTATTGATGTTTAATTTTTTTTATTAAACCGAATCTCTCTTACTCATACATTAAACACGTACACACATCCTTTTTAATGTTGTCAGATTTTCTTGAAGAAAAAAAACCAAAACAAACAAATATAATGTTTGTGCAGCACGATTAATCAATCTATCAAATAAAATTTCGTACGCTTTTTATATAATTTTGTTACTGCTGATACTCTTCTGTAATAATAACACACACGCTTTCTCTCGCTCTCACTAAACAGTTAATTTATTTATTGTTGCTTCTGTTTTTCTATTTTTGTTTGTATTTGATGTTGACTAAATGTGTATAGTTTTCCTCTCTCTTCTTTTATCTTTTTCTTTTCTGCACAAACTTGATGTATTTGTGAATGTGTAAATATACGCTTGTTTTGTTGTTGTTTTACATCTATTTTGATGAAATATTTCTTATTGTCTTCACTTTTTTGTTTTTATACGGGATACTGGATTTTATGACATATTTTTTTCTTCAGTTTTTGTTCTTAAAGAACAATATAGAAATAAAAATAATAACTGAGACTTTCTTACTGATTCTTATTATTTGTTGCACATTAATACATCGAGATTTCAACTCTCTGCGCTAATGAAATCTGATAATTCGAAATTTATCCTTTTAGATTATTAGATGACCACTGATGATATGATGGCTATTCGAAATTCAAGTCGATGAAAAGTTAAATCTATGGGTGAGTGATAGCATCAGGTTGAACTCTATACTCTATTAGTAGATGTATCTTTTAACTTTACTCTTACATTTTGTTCGAACTCATACATCGAAGAAAGACTATGTATAGATAACAAAGTAAATTATTTCTTGATTGGTGTAGAATTGTATAAAAACTGCATAAAATGTCATTGAATACTGTTTTTATTTCATTATAGTTCTTTAATTTACTATGCTCTGAATTCTAGTTGAATTATTTTTAAGGAAAAAATACGATTTTTATTTAAATAAGAGAGCTAACAAGTAGACTTACAGAAAGTTATTTTATTCATGAATCGTTATTTAGTGTAGATATGTGACAGGTGCATTGACGATTTTTACATAGGGCGGATCAAATGAGCCGCCTTGCTTTGGTACGATGTGTAAACATGGTTTATCACATCCATATAATGTATGATATTGAGTAGAATCGAGTTTTTTTAATGTATGAGAGTTTGTTGGTTTTGGAACATCAGAATAAAATGAATGATTACCACTGGTGCCATACGAGTGGTCGTAAGATGGCTGATGAGAATAATTGCTATTGCCACTGTGTTGAACATTTTTGCCGTTTTGATTATAAGAATAAGTTGTTGTACCACCTCTCAATCTTTGATAAACTTCTCGATCAGGATCTTTGCCTGTTGATTGTGTATACCATTTTTTTACTTCCATTTCCGATTTTGGACGATAGACATAATTTTGATTAGATGCTTGTTTTTGATTACTATGGCTTCGTAAATGACTACTGCCTCTAGCTCCCTCAAAATGTTTACTACTCGTTGGTCGACTTGGAACCTGATCAGAATCTTGTTGTTTTTCTAAAGTATGTTCGCGATAAGCCGTCAAATGAGCGTCACGCCACGGATACTCGTTTGAAGTGCTTGAACGCCATGGTTCTCGTGATCCGGTGCTGGAACTTCGTGGCCGAGATCGAGATCTTGGATTTTTTTGTTGCTGACTGGTTTCTGATGAATACCCTTGATCGTCTTGTGATTGCCGAGAGTGAAAATATTGCTGTTCCTGAGGAGGTTTATAGTGATCAATAGTACCAACAGATTCATGTTGACGTTGATGATCTAACTGGTCTGAATGAAGGAAACACATTGTTAGTAGATTATAGTAAAAGAAAAGAGAATTTTTGGAAAGAATCGAATGAGATTCTGTGTTTCACACACCTAATTCTTTTCTGATACGTTCTATCTTTTTATCGATAGTTTCGATGTCACGTTTATTTCTTCCGTCTACATGCAATTCGTCTCGCTCTTTTTGATATTCATCACGACGTGACACTCGATGCTGTTGTGGAGGAGATTTGGATCGCGAACGTGAACGATGATGTTGATAATAGCCGCCATCTTTGATCCAAGGACAACAGGTTTCACAATAACCTGGACAGGTGGGAACTGAACAATGTTGAACATGATGAATGACATGCTGAACATTTTGGGATTGGGATGAAGCTGAAAAGAAGAAAACAAGATTATAGTTATACTGCTTGGTAGGATGCACTGTGTTCATTGAACGCTTACAACAGTCAACAGAAATGAGAGTTTCTTATTGATTGAACAACTGGACTGGGTCATAAAGAGCAGAACAGGATATCGCGAGGGAAGGTGAGTTTAGCGCTAACGCTCACTTCTAAATCGTAGGAGAGAAATAATACCTCCAAAAGTCTTGTTAACACTGGGTGGTACAGTAAATCGATGTTATTCTTTCACAGATAACTAAAGAAAATTAATTTGGTCATCTTCCTATTCTTGTTCGTACATTTTTTATAAAGATAGCCTTTTCCTGTTTAAATGTGCGCAAAAATACTAAGATAAGTAACACTAGATAAAGATATACATTTTACCTAGCTACAAAGTCAATTGTCTTATACCTTGCTCTTGAATGTTTTGTTGTTGTTCGCTGTCTTCTTTTTTAATACTTGTTTCAGTGGCTTTTGATACAAAACCATATCTTGGATAAATATACGTTCCGTTGAGTACCTGTACTGCTGGCACGATGGGTGTAGGTTGAATCATGAAATATCTTTGCTGTTGGTTAACCACAGATGTTGCTGGAACATAGAGTGTTGTTGCGGCTGGAATCATTTTATAATATCTTTACTGCTTATCGATTAATACTCTTCAAGAAGATATATGTCTTGCCACAAAATAAAAATGAGTATTATAGAGAACTAAAACTCTTCTCTTTTTACTCTTCGTTGCTGTTAATAGAAATTTTTTTTCTTTTCTTTTACGATGAGTATATGTTTGTTTTGTTGCCAAGTCACTCATCAGCGTCAGCAAACGTGAGACTGAATACGAGCCAAATAAAGAAGAGAGTTTTTATTCTTCATTATTTTATTTTATTTTCTGTTCTGCCATATAAAGACTTTATGTGTAGATTCGTGTTTGATAAGCAGTTATAAAAACGCATACCGCTTTGTATTACTTAATGACAAAAAGTTTTTATTTTCACTCATGCATGAAAAATAATACAGAGGAATTAACTTATTTAGTGTAATTTGAAATTTAATCCTAAATGAAACCGTCAATTTCCTATACTGAGAGCAACAAAGCATCGTTTGTAAAATAGGGAATTGTTGAAGGACTTAACCTAAAGATAAAAAATGGAAAATTTGCTGCACAACAGATAGCTGTGTATTTATCTATTGGACTACTGTCAAAGTTTCAAAATTTAGAAGAGCCGCATACGGGTCTAATACTAATTTTAAATGACATGCAAAATAATTAGAATTTTTTAAACTTTTGTTTCATGAGACACTAAAGAATGTTCTTCTTCCTGTTGACACTTGGTGGTTTAACTTAATTAATGTTATACTTTCAAAGATAGCTACAGGAAAATTAAAATGAATTTATTCAACATCCCGTTCTTATTCATCTTCTTATGAATACAGACTCGTTTTGTTGACTCCAAGATATTTTATAGAAAACAATGCAAATAAAATATGTGTAGTGCTTACAATAGAACGTTATATTTAGACTGCTTTTTTTCCGGTAATAAGAGAGAGCATTATGTCTTGTTTGAGTTTTCTTCTTTATTACTGGTTGACATACTATGTAAGATATTTTATCCAGCTTGAAATAGGATAAATCATTCTGTTCATAAATGATAGAAACTGTTGAGTGTACATGCTTCCCATATCATTTGCTTACTTGTGAAAGCTAACCGTGTTCGTTTTAGATGTCAGTGTTGTGTATTAATGGCAATCATACTAAGTGATTTATGTTTATTATATTATCAACTAGATATCACATTTCAAGACATATATCCTAGTTCAAATAGACACAAAGGTAAAATAATTAATAAGAATAGTGTACTGGTTAGATTAAATTCATTATTTTCTGAGATAAATAAACAAATACGAATTTTTGTTTTCTAGAAGAATCCTTTTGAGCGAATTAATATCAGCAGCTTTATTGTTTTAACTTGTTAATAAGTGATCACTAGAAATAGGTTAAATTTAGAATCGAAGCGTTTCTATTGCTGATAAATATTAATATCGAGAGTGACTCTTAACCGTGTATATATTTTTTTTCAGTGTATTCGGGTCAAGTTAATTCAATGTTCATTTCGATATGGTCTAGATAAAATATGTGTACGGTAAATGGCGAAATGAAATCTAAATGTTATTCAAAACATACCGCAGTATGAGATATTACTCGACATGTGTTACATCAGGGATTTTCTTTAGACAAGCTATATTTCATATTTTATTAATTATCTCAGTTTTGTAAAGGCTACTTGATTAATTTTAGATTCAGTATGATGTACCAATGAGGGCTTTATTAGCTCAAAACTGACAATAGATCTTGATAATATGTCGACTATCTTGAAATATCTCACTAATGTGGAACTTCAGAAAATTCAAAGTTAACATTTTTTTAGCTTCACATCTATTATATTTATTGAGAGTTTTCTTCTATCCTGATAAATCTTGACGATAATTATCGTCATTTTATCGAAATAAAGACTTTACCGTTATAATCTTGTTAGTTATCGTGTTAATCATACTATCACAATAAAACTTTAAAAATATTTATTGAAAATTGTTGAGGTGAACAGGTAATCCCGATATGAATTGACGTATTAATAGAATAAGTTATGTGTCCATATATCGTGATAAATTTTAACCATTCCTTTACGAGATATTACATTTCTAATTTTGTAGTTCTAATGTTAATCACGATAAATAACGACCACGATAGAAAATATAATATAATTAATATAATTTCGGCGACTACGTAAGAATGCTAAAGGATAAATTGATGTTATGGACAACATTAGTTCAACGTTTAGTGTACTATCCGATGCAGCTTAGAAACCGAATTGAGATGCATAGTTTTTGAGGACTGAACTAGTGAAAAGTTGAGAACTAGTTTGAAAATATGGAAAAATGGAATTTAAGCAAATGTTAGATATGTTCTCCTTTTATAAGAAGAGACAAGACTGTTAGCAGCAGAGTATAATATCAGCCAGTATATCATCTGACTACTGGAAAACTTCTATGGTAAATCGATATATGTTATGCAGCTCGCTAAATCAATAATCTGCTACGATAAACAATTTTCTTGCAATAATAATAGATCGATATATATATATATATATATTAAGTCGCGATTTATCTCGATAAAGATCAGCAAAGAATTGTGACAGGTGGATAAAAACGGCATCCATCTCAATGTCTTCTATAAACGCATTCTATTCCAACGAAAACGTATCGAGATAAATGCCGTGTTCATTTACGGTTTTTTTCTGATCTTTATCCAGATAAATTGCCACTTGATATATGTATCGAGAGATATCGCATTGAAAATCTTTCTTACGATAAACAAGTTTGTTATCAAGCTAAGTCTTTTTATCTCGATGAATATAAGAAAAAATCATGATGGATGAATAAAACAGGCATTTATTGCGATAAGTTTATCGAAAAAACTGTCGTGCGTAGTACGAAATAATTTCATTTACCCTATAATTACATGAAAACCTATGAGACTACCTATAGGAACTTATTATGAAAAACGGTAAAACAAAATGATGTAAAATGGAAACCAACTTAATCAACTTATATTATACACCTATTTAAGAGAAAATTATGATGATTTATGAGAACAAATTTAGCAAAATATATTACAATTATTATTTTAACAGTTATACTCTTTTAATTGTACATGAGTTGTTAATTTTTTTTTTACTTTAGTTGGAAAATACAACAACGTTAAAAAATTTGTCTTTTTATTTGTGACTTAGTAAAGGATTGTACTTTTCTACTTAAGAATGATATCAACAGTTGGTCTTTAAATTATGTTTCAGATCTTTCTTAAAAAAGACTAAATAAACTACATCTTTTTAAAATGGCTGAACGTGGTGGAACTCGTGGTGGCTTCGGAACACGTGGTAAGCAATCAATTAGCGCTTATTAAATCAATTTATACTCGAAATTTACTGTCTTTATAGGACGCGGCGGTGGTGAAGGCGGTCGTGGAGGATTCAGAGAAGGAGGTGTGTATTGTTTAAAAATAAAAATAAATACATGCATGATTTAAGAAGAATCTCTGTTTTTGCACATACGAGAGAAGACTAACTACCTTTGTCTAATCTTGTTTATGCTTTGTTTATATTTCAGGTCGCGGTGGATTTGGCGAAGGTGGTCGAGGCCGAGGCGAAGGGGGCCGAGGTGGTCGAGGTGGTGAAGGAGGTATTGAAGAAAATATTTTAACACTTTGCTTTCGAACTTTACCTATAAGTGATAAGTGTATCTCTCTCCAAGATTTTAAGAAATGCAATCTGTTGAAAAATCTAATGAAGTCTTTCCTCTCTTCTCTGCTGCTACATTTGTCGCCCTAGCTATAACAGGTGATGATTTGTGTTGTTTTAGGACGTGGACGCGGTGGCCGTGGACGACGTGGTAAATACAACAGCGACAGTAACTTTACATGAATATATTTTATCCTTGTTTCGTTTCTACGTAGGTCAACGTCCAAAGGAAGATAAAAAAACGTGGACTCCCGTAACAAAATTAGGCCGATTGGTTAGTGATGGAAAAATAAAAAGTTTAGAAGAAATATATCTGTTTTCACTACCAATTAAAGTGAGTTGAATCGATCATTAATGTTGGTATCTTTGATTTTTGTTTAATACTAAGCAATTTATACAATTTTTAGGAGGCTGATATCATTGATCTACTATTGCCCGAGTTAAAAGATGAAGTATTAAAAATCATGCCCGTACAAAAACAAACTTGTGCCGGTCAACGTACACGTTTCAAAGTAATTTTCATGTCGTTTGTTCTTAAAACATATGACTTTGATCGCTATTATTTTAGGCTATTGTTGTTGTTGGTGATGGCAAAGGTCATATTGGTTTGGGTGTAAAATGTTCAAAAGAAGTAGCAACAGCCATACGCGGAGCAATTATTTTAGCAAAATTATCTGTTATACCTGTGAGAAGAGGATATTGGGGAAATAAAATCGGCCCAGCACATACTGTACCATGTAAAGTAAGTCAATAATTTCGAAATATATTCACCATACAAGTAAACGATTTTTATATAAATTAAACGTCTGAAATTTCGATTGCTGTTCATGAATTTTAGCATTATGTAACACTATTGAAAGACTAATCGGATAAATACTTTCGAAGATTGTAGCGGCTTTATTTTCTTCTGAAGATATAAACTCATTATCTGATAATTTCCTCGTAGCAAGCAATTATTAATATTCTACATTCAGAGAAATGACTTGTGTATGTTTGCTTTATCTAGGTTACAGGTGAATGTGGTAGTGTAATAGTACGTTTAATTCCTGCTCCACGTGGTACAGGTCTGGTATGTGCACCTGTACCGAAAAAATTACTTCAAATGGCTGGAATTCAAGATTGTTGGACTAGTTCAAGAGGATCAACAGCCACTTTAGGCAATTTCGGTAAGCATAAATCAAAGAAAAACTTCTAAAAACACTTCTTTCATTTAACAATGTTCTCTATAGTATTTCTTGTTTTTCTCTTTTTAGCCAAAGCCACTTATTCTGCCATGTCAAAAACGTACAGTTATTTAACACCTGATTTATGGAAAGAGACAATTTATACAAAAACACCTTATCAAGAATTCAGTGAACATTTGGCTAATACACAAAAGAAATTAACAACTGGCATTGAAAAAGGAGATTTACAATAAACATCGTCACGAAGGAAAAATACAAAATGCCATCATCAGTCAAATTATTTATAAAATGTATTTTTCGTGTCCGTCTATTTTCTATTGTTTTGTTTTTCCTTCTTTTTACATGTATTTGTATAAACAAAAAAAGCAAACAAACAATTGTTGATTTTTAAAAGAATAAAAAATTAAAATGATGGCAAAACATAAATAAAATTAGTTAAATGTCTTATATGCTTAGCCTCGGTCTTTCTAAAACCATATTTAAATACAATATATCGGCTCTGTCGCTAATGACTTTACAAAGTGAGCCTTATTTGACGATATTAATTTTTTCAATTTTATTCACTATTTCTACGTATTGGTTTAAGACAGTCTAAAAGTGATTGTACTTTTAGAGAGATGTTTGATATGGTTAGACAATTCTGTATACTTTAATATAAGATAAGTCTCTGTTTAACGAATGTTTTTAATTCGACGATTATTTGTTCAAAATCATGTTAATCCGGCTACTAAACTGTCAACAAACTCATTAGTAGACATATGTAATGAATTTAAACAACTGAGAGGTGGTTCAATTGAGTTAGAAAAAGATGATACATCTGGCATAGCTCATATTTTTATTAATCATCAAGAAAAACGAAATGCGCTTAGTGGTATGGTATATTTTATTTTTATCGTTCTACATCATTCAAATAAATTCTTTCCTATTAGGAAAAATGATGGTTGATCTTTATGATATTGTAAACGATTTGGAACAATGGTCAAATGGAAAAGGTGTATTATTGCATTCCTTCGGTAGCGTATTTTGTTCAGGCGCCGACTTAGAAACTATTAAATATTTACTTAAATCGGAACAAGGTGGATTTCAAATGGCAACGTTAATGCATTCAATATTGACAAAATTTCGACATTTACCATTAGTAACAGTGGCACTTATCAATGGAAGAGCAATGGGTGGTGGAGCAGAGTTATGTACTATGTTTGATTATCGTCTAATGACTCTCAACAGTAGTATTCAGTTTGTTCAAGGACGTATGGGTTTATCACCGGGTTGGAGTGGTGGTTTGAGATTAAAACAAATAATTGGTAGCAAAAATACTCTAGATTTGTTATTGACAAGTAAACAAATAAAAGCAAAAGAGGCTCTTGAAATGAAATTAATTGATCATATTTTTGAAGATGATAAAGAAGTTATAGAACAAGCTGTTAATTGGTTAAAAACAAAGATTATATTTGATGTGAGCGTTGTGAGAACAATGAAAAAATTAATGATGAATATTGATGAAGAGACAAAACAACTTGAAAATGAGAAAAAATTATTTTTATCGTTGTGGGGTGGAAAAACAAATTTAGAAGCAATTCAATCAAATGTAAAACATCAGTAGAGACTTCTGTTTCGATTCTATATATGTAGTTCAATAAATTTTGTTATTTACCAGTGAGTCATTTCTTTAACTGAAGTAAAATAGTTAAAAATCTAGATTTCTAACATAGTATCAATATATTCATTGTCTCCAATAGTATGTAGATATTTTCATACATTATGTCACATGCAATAAAATAAATACGAATATATTTCGATTCTATCACTGCTGATCTAAGGTATTTTTTTAGAGGAAATCGACTACACTGTGTTATAAATAGTAAATTTCAAATATGAAAAAAAAAGAAGAATTTTGTCACAGAATAATCATAGTAGGAAAATTATCAATTTACGGTTGTGAAGACTGTTACCCATTTATGATTATAATAAAAATAAATTTTTACTAATGGCGAGTTGAACATAAATAGAGTAGAATTACGAAAAAAGAAATAATTAAATGGAAACATGATGTGAATGATATTGATCTGAGAAAAAAAGAAAATAGAACATGAATAGTGGATTATAAACAAAATTACTGATTTATATATACTCGTTTTTGTTCTGGTTCAAGAAAAAACTTAAACTTAACAAAAAAAAATCATCAGAGCAATTGATGAATTATTCATTCTAATATGCAACAAATAGTAAACGATCGACACCATATTTGTATAATCACTGTTATTAACAAGAAAAAAAAAGGCACTTGAAACAAAAATTGCATTAATTTAAAATGTAAATTGTCTGGTATAATCGTATTCAACTGTCGGTATTACGGCTTGAACGAATCTACAACGATAAGAAAGAAGCACAAATTATTGGATGATAGGTATGTCTTTCTCAAACTAGAAAAAAAAATATCCCCAAAAAATCATAAAATTACCACTAACAAGGGAATCGCCCCAAGTGTTTCCGACCTTTTTCGTCGAAACACACATAGACATAGGTTATCGCTGATACTGATTTCGAATATCATAGTCGGAGCGGCATACGGATCCTTGGAGACTCGGTTTTCTAGAAAACCAGTTTTTCAAAAACTTCAAAAAGAAAACCAAAATCTTTCTTAATGAGGCATAATTGTAGCCCGTAAATTTTTGATTAAAATAAGACATCTCCCAGCTCTACACGACCTTTCTTTGCAAAGTTACACAGTTTACAAGAAAAGCCCTAAATGTTCATTGTCAGCTCAAAGCTACAGAAATAAGAAGAAATTAATTTAGGGCTTTTCTTGTAAATTGTATAACTTATAACTTTGCAAAAAAGATCGTGTAGAGCTGGAAGACGTCTCATTTTAATCAGAAATTTACGGGCTACAATTATGTCTCATTAAGAAAGGTTTTGGTTGTCTTTTTAGAGAGAAAAGCTGGTTTTCTAGAAAACCGAGTCTCCAAGGGCTCGAATGCCGCTCCGACTATGATATTCGAAATCAGCATCAGCGATAACCTATGACTATGTGTGTTTCGACAAAAAAGCTCGGGAACACTTGGGGTGGTTCCCTCATAAGTGGAGCCATAACTTGCGATTAAAGTCTTTTGCTTCAGTACCGCTGGCATCTGTCTTGAAAACACGTTCTACTTACTTTAGAAAGATCATAATATACATGTGTACTTCTAATTCATTTCCACTTTCTGCGACCATTTGTATCAATTTTTTCATTACATCAGCATGTCGACACGGATGTATGCTTGCCATGGGCGGACCGGGTAAATTTGGATGTTGTTCCATTGTCACTGTTTTCTTTGCATGATCTTGACTTATATCTTCGTACATTTGTTCAACATTAAGAGGTTTATGATACTCATCGTAACCATTTAGCCATAGACGAGGTGTCTGGTAGTATTTATCATAGGTTATATTTAAATCATATGTTCGAGTTTGTAAAGTATTTTGGACTAATGAATCGTCTTGAGCAGTCGTTGTAGATGGATGTGTACTTATTATAGATTTCGTTGTAGCTAAATAAATGGAAAGAAAAGTAATCAGAAAACAATTGTTTTCATATTTTCTTACTTGGTGCTTCTAATGGATCATTATCAAACAATCCTTCTCTTTCAAATTCTTCCATATCAGCTAAAAAAACAAATAAATGAACTAGAGTTGATCATCAATAAGGATTTTTCTTGATTTACCAGCATCGTCATCGTCATCATCGTCATCCTCTTGCTTTTCAATATGTTTATTAGAACTCATTGCTGTATTAGTTGCTGTTGAATTTTGCATATCAGCCACATATTCTCTCGATTCTGTTTGTGTGCTATCAGCATAGTGATGTGTGTCAACCCATCCACCGTCTCCATTTTGTTCATCAACTATTTTCTCTAAATTATCACGATGTTCCATGTGTTTACAACGTTTATAACATGGAACATTTTTTGTTATTAAAAATTGTTTATCTCGTGGTAAATAATTCTTTATTTTTGATTCTTCTCCCGATGACCATTGCCATGTTGGACTAAAACATGGATGGAAAATATTTTGTAATATTAAACATAATCAAAATAAAACGAACTCACCAATGATGAACAAGAAAATCGCCAGCTGCTACAAATTCTAATGGTGTAATAACACCTGTTTCACGAAATTTTGATTGTTTTAAAACAGGTGTAAAAAATTCACCGATACCAAGTGCAGACCTTTTAAACGAATTAACCATATCATCAACCATATTTAAGTATAGCTATGTGGATTGAGATGCAATAGAAAATAATCTGTAATAGAACAAAAACAATGTCAGTTTTTGGAAATAATAATTCTGCTGTCGTCTGTATCTCAGAGAAATAAAATGCTCATTTTCTATAATTTAAGACGAGTCAGAATGTTCTCAGAATTTGTCGATGACTGTGGAAAAAGTGAAAGATAGTGGAATACAAGCTACTTAGAAGGCTAACTTCTTTTAGTCGTGAAGTACTGCTGTTAATAACAAATAAAATAACGACTGTTAAATATTTGGCATAAATACAAAAAATATGTGGAGAACAAATACATTGAATAGAAAATAGAATTAAATTAAACATATCACCGGAAATAACGTTGGTTTTGAGTTTCTTTTTCATATCCAACACACTCGATAACCCCAAAAGATTTTCTATATTTGGCGAGGGACACTTCCAAAGGTTTAGGGAAAATTTTAAAACAAAAATGATGCAAAAAATTTTTCGTGGGAAAATAATATTAGTTTCAATATTTTTATTAAACTTTTGGAAGTACCCTTCGCCAAAAATAGAAAATCTTCTAGATTATCGAGTGTGCTGGATATGAAAAAGCACTTTTCAGCAACTCAAAACTAGCTTTATATGATATGTTAGACTAGAGAATTAAAGAATAAAATGGAAGTATTTTAAGCTGAGAGAAGTTAATATAAATGGTGAAGTTTTTTAAGTTTTTAATAATGCGATATTTTTTATCTTCGTCGATTGAATTAGTTCGTACAACGAAATAAAATTTTGAATTACAACTTGATTTTTCAACTCATACTTACATCGCTTATTTTTGCTAAACTTATTTATGACTAACAGATGAGGGTTCACACGGTAAAAATCTGGTAGGCATGCATCACAGCTTTTTTTTTTACAATACTAGAAAAATGTAAACAGTTATGAAGAGTATGACATCACCAAAAATGATGTCACCTTTTTTGTTATGACTTTCTAAAATCGAAATTCTAAAAGTAGATTTATCATGATAACACTTTCATTAGTTAAAGTAAATCAATAATGTGATAGTACTGTCATATTTTTCACGTTGTATGATTCATTCAACAGGACGAAAATGTCACACTTTTACAGTTACATGCAATGTTTTTTCTAGAATGAGAGTGTCACAGTTGTGTGGCACGTTTTTACCATTGATTGCTGCATTTTTTTTGCTGTTGTTGCATTTTGTGGAAAGGTAGTGCACATTTTGAGGTGATACTGTTCCACAACGATATAATAGTTCATCGGACAAGCAGTTAGTTAAACTCTATTTCCCAATCGGAAGAACGTTTGTAAGACGAGATCAAAGAGGAATTTTCTGGAGTTTTTTTTCCGCTTCTGGAGCACAAAAACAAGATTAAAACAAGGAAAATCAATAATATAAAATCTGAACTCACTCTTGACCTTCCTCACAGTTAACGCGAAACGTGGACTCAGTTTTTAATGTTTTATAGAACAGATAAATCAAGAAACCGAATGAAGAAACTATTAAAATGTACGGTAAAAAAAAAGAGTAGATAATCATAAGGTAATAATACAATCTTCACGAACTATTCACCTTTCACAAGTTGTCGGTTAATTAAACAAATTAATGTATAAAACATCTGTAAGAAAATATCTACAATATTAGGTCAACTTTATTTTACGCTCATATCTGTAAAAATAAAAGAAAAGAACATTTACCTCTTTGTTTTTTATAAACTATTGGCCGAACGTGAATACGCAATATTCAACAGAAAGTATGCAATTATGTAAGAAAATAAATGTATATCAAAACGAAGGAAAATCTCTAGTTTTGTAACATGTGAAGTCTATCGTTTAAAGTGTTAAGACTGTGATATCAAGAGTTGACAGCATAAATATTTAAATTAACATTTTTCATTGACGTCACAGTAAAAACGTTGAGCTCAACATGAAAAATGTATGGTGGTATGAATGCAGTAATTTATGCATATATACAAATAACATAAGGCCCCTTTTTTCACTTTACCATTTTGATTAGTTCCTTTCTAAGCTAATAGAACAAGTTATTTGTTCCACAAAAGAGATAGTCAGATTAGCTACAATGATAATAATCGCTAGTATCAACGTCACTCACATAGAGGCTCGTTTTCATCGCAGTTTACCTTGACCGAAAGATATGTTTCTTGAAAAGAAGAAAGAGGACATAGTACTCATTTGGCTGTAGTACCGTTCCTTTACCAGTTTTACTTTGTTTACTGTCTAAGAATCATTATAGTATATAAAAGAAATCTGCATCGTTTTTGTGTCGATGGATTATGTTTAATTGAGCTATGACTGGCAATTTCTCAGCAGTTAAAAAACGAAATAGAATTCGCGTTTGTTATTAGTTTTTATGCAATGTTGACCTATTTCAAGCAATAGATAGATGATGAAATCACGGCGATCTTCTGTAAGAAAATTTGTCATACAAACATATTAATATTGAGTATATGGGAAACTAATGTAATTTTTAACACAAACTGAGCTGATTTTATCACAATTATTTATATTGAATTTTATTATTGTTGTTTTGACTTAAAGCTTCGTACAATAACATACGTTGGTTTCTTAACTCTTAATTTTATCAAGTAAATCAACACAGGACACACGCAGTGTTATCACAAGTGAGACTGTGATAACACAAAGAATTACAAAACAAGAGATAATATCATAGTAAAATGACGAACAGTCTAGATTCTATACTAGAAAAACATAGCATTGTTACGGCTTCTCATTTCAACTTTTACATCAATTATTTTCAGGCCATTACTTTCATTTTATATAATCATTGAAGTCGCAACAGTCTCGAGAAGCAAAATATATTTCAGAGCTTGATTCTTACGTTTTAAGCAGCATCGCTGATATGTTCCCACGGCTTTGTACTTTTTAATCTTAAGAAACGTTAACAACATTTTGTTCTTTGCATATTGGCCGCTGATGAAGTTATTGAAATGAAGTTTTATTTCCTTTATAGCTAGAGCCAGTGTTTACAAATCGTTCATGATCTAAATTTTGGTCATACTAAAGATTAGCTAATAAGAAACTTTTAGTAAAATTAGAAATGCAACCATATACCTTACAAAAGTATATGTATCATCACAAAAGTAATTTTTGGTAAAATTACTGTACTGAAAAGTAACATGCAGTCATAATAATAACTGTTCCTCGCTATGAGTCTAGAGGAAATACAAAATGTGGTCTTTTGAATAATAAATGAGACTTACATTATTCTTCTATGAACGAATATGAAATTTTTAGATGATCATACAAGTTCAGACCTTCTCAGCATATACCGTTTATTTATTTAATTTGAACTCTTATATAATTTACTAAAACAAATGTATATTTGTTTAGAAATAAAAAACAACAACAGTGGAGAAAATATCCGTCAAATATGGATAATTTCTCGGACAAAAACGTCGATTGTAAATTTGTTTCATCCTCCGCATCATATCGTTCCCAAATATATTCATCTCATTGTTGAGAAACGAGTCTAATTTCTGAATAAACGAAACAGCATCGAACACACATCGTTTTTGTAGGTCGACACTAAACAGTTGCTTAAAATTTTGGAAAGTTTTTCATAAAACTCAGTTAAAGATAAGTTATAATCATAATGTTGTTCATACGAACGAGACATTGACTCATCATTGTTTTTAGCATGAAAAACTTTCGTCTGCTCGACAGTAACAAGTAGCAGAAGCCAACTAAGTAAGAACCTTGCGCGGAAGTAACAATAAAACAAAAAGTTTCTTAGTCGTTCAAAAGCATACGAGCACGTTTTCTATATAAAAATAATAATACAGCTTCTCATTTCAAAGTTTACATCAACTTATTCAGGCCATTACTTTCATTTTATATAATCATTGAAGCCGCGTAACATTAGCCAGAAAAAAGCAATAGCAAAACTGGTAAACAGAAGAATAGCTCTTCATAGAAATGTACTTATTGGACATAAAAGTAGAGCTGAATTCACGTGAGATCGAGAAACTCTCAACTGAATAAGCAGCAACTTACACTACTTTTCTATACAGAAGATACCTCAAAAATTTTACTAAAGTGTTTTTCGATCCTCTTATTCAAATAAAATTTGTCTGAAATGACAACGAGAAATTGAATCCTCTCCAAGCTAACACTTTCTCTCATTCTAATAGAAAAGAGAAGCAAAACTTTCTACTTCTATTGATTGTCTGTGTTAATGTCTTAGTTAGACGTCGATATACGTTAAAGAAAAGAGAACGTGCAAATAAAAAATTGTAAAATAGACAAGTTAGAATGTTCTGCACATGTTATTTAGGTTTGTACACATCATTTTTACGAGTTAACACTAGAATCGTATTAAATAGACATATTTGATGCGACATATTTCTATGGACATATTTGTATTTCTTTTTTGGCAAATGCCCTATAAACACTCAGTACGTGTATGACTTTAGTGCAATGTATTGTTTGCAACTTAGTCACTTTTTATGCAAACTAAAAGTAAATTTTAGTGTTAGATTTAAAAGACTTTTGCCTATTCAGAAATGTAAAAAGGTTCAGGACTTTTGCAGTAGAATCCTGAAATCGCCTGATCAAAGTCGACATATTGTTTTTCCGTTCGAGAGGGAGGCACAATTTGAAAAATAAATTACTAAAAACTCATGACGTTATATTCCTCAGTTTGTACAGTTCTTCTTTGCCGAATACAATTAAAAACTACAAGATTCATCGCCATTGTATTCATTCTGAAACAAAAAGTTTCTTAGTCGTTCAAAAGCATACGAGCACGTACGTTTTCTATATAAAAATAATAATACAGCTTCTCATTTCAAAGTTTACATCAACTTATTCAGGCCATTACTTTCATTTTATATAATCATTGAAGCCGCGTAAAATTAGCCAGAAAAAAAGCAATAGTAATGAATAATATGCGCATATATACATCGGTGACTTTGATCGGACGAGTTCAGGGTTCTACTACGGAAGCGATTTGGGGGGGCGGGGTTGTGTACGTTTTTACATTTCTGAATAGGCAAAAGTCTTTTAAATCTTACATTAAAATTTACTTTTACTTTCATAAAACGTTACTAAGTTGCGAATAATACCTTGCACTAAAGTCATACACGCACTGAGTGTTTATAGAACATTTGCTAACATTTGCCAAAAAAAGAAATAGAAACATTGTCCATTTGATACGACCCTAATAGGAAATGTCAGACGCATTGTAATTTCAATTAAAACGAAAAACAAATATTAAAGCTTCATTAATTCATGTTAAATAGTATTGATGTTGGAGTTCGTTGCACAACAGATGATCTTTTTCGTCACAATAATGCGATGAATTAAATTAGATTCTTCGCATAGGACACAAAGATATCTTAAACAAGAATTACAAAACAAGAGATAATATCATAGTAAAATGACGAACAGTCTAGATTCTATACTAGAATAAACATAGCATTGTTACGGCTTCTCATTTCAACTTTTACATCAATTATTTTCAGGCCATTACTTTCATTTTATATAATCATTAAAGTCGCAACAATCTCAAGAAGCAAAAAATATTTCAGAGCTAAACTCTATAAAATGAAATTCAACTGATTTCGAGAAATTCTGAGAAAAGAAGGTTACAAGTCATTATACTGTTTAAGATACGATAATGAGAAAGGTTAGGCTAAAATTTGGCTTATTTGAGTATTTTAAGACTTATAATCGTCCAGTTTTAAATGCAACTCAGTAAAAATGGTATATTTGTAATCAAGATTAGTTCATACTGAACGAAGAACCATCATTGTTGCATCACATTCAAACAAAAGAACTTTCTTACAATAAATGGTACAAACACTAACCACCATATCGAAAATATTATTTCACCGTACAGAAGTGTAATATTAAATAACTTTTCTAGGCTGTGTGACACCTAATATCAGTTCTAATCGTCGAAAAAAAACAAAGACATTTAATAGTTTCAAAATGCAACTCAGTGTTTACAAAATATTTGTAATCAAATAAACTCATAGAAAGGGAAAGCCATCATTGTTGCATTTCGAAGTTATCTTGATGTTCTAAGTTCATTGTATTAGACGGCACAAACTCACAAGAAACCATTTTTGTTTAGGCTGAAAAACTACTACACATTTGCTATCAATAAAGTAGAAGTTAACAAAATGAAAGAGAATAAAAAAATTCTTTCACTTTATTTGGCTTGGCACCTCTTCATAATCCAAAAACAACAAATATTTAAGAAAAACAAAATGACAACAACTTTAAACAGACAAAAGCTTTTGCTAATTGCTTTTTTTTTGTTTTTCCATTTGCTTTTTCTCTTATGATTTTGTAGCTGGTACTGTTGCTGTCGATGATGCACCACCACTCGACGCTTGTTGTCTTTTATGTGCTTTTTGTGATTTAGCTAATGTTCCTTCACGAAAACCATTTCTAAAGCGTCGAAATACGACTTTTAAGTGTTGCATACGACCAGTACCGGTTGTTTTTCTTCGTCGTGCTTTTTCACTCCAATTAAATTTACGTATTTTTTTCGATGGAAACCCACATGCAGCACATCGTTGACGTTGTAAGTGATAGGATGAACGGCCACATCGACGACACAGTGCATGAGTCTTAACGTTACGTTTACCAAATGACGATGTACCTTTCGTCATTTTAACACTGAATTTTTAAATCTAAAACAAAAAGAAAACGAACCGCTTTATATGCTAAAGTTTTTAAGATTATTTTAAACAGAACAAAGTTTTGTAGTTTCCTAAAATAAGACTACTGAAATTTTAATATCTTCTAAGGTAGTAGCAAGCTCTTGAACTTCCTCAGCATAGCTCGTTAGTTTTATGCAAGAGGTACGTTTTTACTTTTAAAGGAAAACGACTTGTATCGTTTTACAACTTATCTTTGCTATATCTGTGCTGGCACAAAATTTTGTGTTAGGCCTTTACACGAAGTTTCTCTTCGCAATCCATTCCATCTGAAACTCCGTCGCCATCTTGCTTTACTTGATTTAAAAGTTCATGTAGAGGACGAAGGAGCCGAGATGACTGGCTATTAGGATCCTGAGCCTCCAAATTCCACCTTCCACAGATCTGCGGGCAACTGCTATGTTGCACTTTTTAATCTTAGCCTACATCTAATGTACAATTTCTTCATGCTAAATTTGGTACTCTAGCTGTATCGGCTTACAGATCAATTAACGACATCCTCGTATAGTGGCGCTCCACGGTGATACTCGTAAAATTAGTAAGAAAGATCAGCAGTATGTGCGAAAAACTAGTTGCTTTTGCAACTTCTGCAACAGATGCGCACTGTTTTAGGAACTAAATGAGAAATTTGCCCCGGGAGTGAGTGGTGACAGAAAAGCATTATCTTATCTCAACTGCTACTGGAAGGGAGTGTGAAAAATAGTGAAATACTAAATCTTCAAGGAAGCCAACTCGGTCAGAAAATGTTAACTATTAAGTTAGGTATGCACCAGTATCGGTATACCGAATACCAAAAATACTGACTTTTTTCGATTTGGACTTTTTTGAATTTTGCCATCTGAAGTGAGATAGTTTCGCATCCTGGACACCCAGAAAGAATCAGGGATTCAAAATAAGAGTTTTTTTGCTTTCTAAGGGCAAAGTTTTCCTTTATTTTCTGTCTACACATGCTCAGAATACACAGCTTTGTGTTCTAACTATCCATGACGCTAAACTATCTCATTTCAGATAGAAAAGTCCAAAAAAGTTCAAATCGAAAAAAGTCGGTATTTTCGGTATCGGTATTTCGGTATGGATAGCGATACCGGTGCATACCTATATTAAGTGCTGTCATAGGCGGGAAAGGTTCTAATTAAAGTTTATCCTGCCATACATAACTCTTGAAATTTACGACAGCTGATCACAAACGCGCATCTACCTAAGGCCAACGGCTTGTCCACGTAATACGCTACTTCGCTGATCAAGTTTTTTTTTTCATGTTTTTTACTTGATAAATCGGTAGAGGCACATCACTAGACGCAGTTTTGCACGCTGGTTACGAATCTAACATTTTTTTTCAAAAGCAGTGGAGTGTTCACTTAAAAAGTTGAAATTGAAATTTTTTAAAAAGTTTATTTTCAATTTCCTCACCAAGACACTTTCTTTAAAAAAATTGAAATATACACCATCGGATAGAGAATTCAATTCTCTACAAAACGGCTTACTCAGTTTTTGAATTTTGAGGCTTCAGAAAAAAATTCAAATTTTTGGAAATATCCAAGAGTGCAATTTTGAAATTAATGATTCGCAGTGTTAAAATCGTTTCCCAACAATTTTCTATAGTGCATTGAAAAGAGTACACAGAAATCTATCTACCTGTACAAAAATGAAATGTTTTGAACAAGGTTTAGTGCTTCAAAACGAGATGCGCAAAGGTGATCAAAAATGAGAAAAAAAAATGTTACTGTGTAACGGAATAAAACCCTGTTTCAGACTCGCAGAAAATAGTTAGAAGAAAAACCTTTTTACCAACATGTAGGCCGTTGTTCGCTCTACAACTCTTGTCTCACTCAAAATTTTCAGAGTGTCGTAGATCACCGAGAAAATCGCAATTTGTTCTGCTCTCCAAAAATGATGGGCCTTTTTTTGTTACTGCGTAACGCGTAATAGAATTCATCTCTAAGCCGTAAAGCTCAACCAAATGTTTTCATTTTTTCAGCATACGTAGAGGAAATGGTACTGCATGAAACGGCGCAAGAACCAACTCTCTAGCTCTTAAACTTGTCGAAAAAACCGTGAATTAGTGTCAGAAATGTTACTGCGTAACGTTTGGACAAGCCGCCAATATCTATTCAAATTGGGATTAAATGATGTTTTGTACTTCTTCTATGTTTCTTAAGTGGAACCACCATAAAGCGCTAGAAAAATTTTTTTGAAACCTTTTGCGTTTGGTGAAAAATACGTTTCCACTTTTTTTTTGCATTTTGGAAAAAACTTCCACTTTTATTCGCTTTTATGACTTTTTATTCCGCTTTCATCGGGCAACTCCGGTCTATACCCCTTCTGATCTGTTAGAAATTATTGATAGTTTACCTAATTAAAAAAGTATCTCAGTTGAGAATTGAAAATATATCTCAGTTCGTACGTAGCCACCGGTTGTGTTTGAAATTCCGGGACAATGTTTTTAATTCGATAAAAAAGAAAAGAAGAAAAAATCCCGAAAACTCTGTCTAGAAAAACTTGAAAAGAATTTGTTAAACAGAAGGATATTATGTATAAAAAAAATAGCAACAGCAAAAAATATTTTTGATAGTAATATCTACTAGTCAACAATGAGCTCGGTCTAATAAGCTGAATCAGCTAGGCAGTTTCATCAGGGCTAACTCAGAGCCGGAATTAACTCCGAAAAAACTGAATATTACTTTTTTACAAAAAGATTTTTTCTTCTCTTTTGCTACTGATTCAGAACAGAATATCCCTATCAGTGCTTTCAGGGTTGACTCAAGTAACCACATAATGCCGAAAACTTAGAAGGTGTGTTTGATAGTAACAGCAATATCTTCCTACTCAAGATAATACTGTTCTTAAATATTTATAATAGTCAAAATTATCTAAATTTTGTACTATTCTAAATTTTTCATACAGTTTAAAAATCTTTGTTATTTACATGAAGCTTTTTCTTCTCGTAACTGATTCAATGCTGGAAAATTTGACTGGAATCAGTTCTGAAATTGCCACTTTCAGAAAATTCAGTGCTGATTCCGTCACTAGATCACAGCTAAATGAGCTGTCCAGAATTTTCATCTTTGAATTACAAAATACATTTTAATGAGGCCTGATTCAGTTCTGATAAAATTGCATAGTTGCAGATCGAACTGGTTGTCGACTAATGAAGAAACTGAAATATTGCAAAAAAATTAATTTAGATTTGATTAATTTAGAAAATAATATTCGTTGTAGAAGTCTTTTGAAATGCATCTATTTTATTCCTTCACTTCTTCGAATTTTATCAAATCAGTTTTTTCTGATACAAAATTTCTTTCGCGATACGCTTGTAAAACGGTATCAATAACTTCCCCACGAAATTTTTTTTCATCGGCAGAATTCATTTTCGTTCTATCATCATTTGAAATCGGTAAATCATCGAGTAATTCTTCCAGTTTTTTTACATCACTAGAACGGACAAGAAAAATATTCGTTAAAGTGACGTATCTATAACGGACAGCAACGCTAAACAAGTGTTACCACTAATTAGAAATAGATATTTTTTCTTGTAAATCTACTTACTTGATGCTCTCACTAAGCTTCCTATTGCAAAATAAGTGAGACATGAATTTTTCGTGGATTTCACTGGACACTCACGAATTTTAGGTACTTTCGGATTCAAAACTTCTTCACATTTTTGGGACACTTCAAAGATTGTAAGCCAGGATGCTTTTTTTATTAATAGAAATTCAACTTACGTTGATATTTTTGGCGTGACAAGATCTAATTCGTGAATATCAGTTGTCTGTTTCGTTGACATATTTGAAAATAATTGTGTATGTTGATTTGTTCTCCAACTAATTGTTGTTGAATCATCAGACGCTCCCCGCTTATTCACCGCTAAAACTTGCTGTACGCGACTTTCAATCAACGCTAAATATAATAGAATATTTTGATCATTCACAGACTCTGACTGATTTGAAAATGTTGAAATGATACGTTGGTCACAGCCGATATCGCGAAATAATTGTTTTAACAGTTGATAAGCAAAATCCAGTAGTTGACGTCCATTTTCTTTTGCACTTTGTAATGACTGAACATTTTTACTAGCGTCACTTACAGAATGCTATGAAAGGTTAAACAACTGTAGTATGAACTTAACAAATGATGTCATATTCTTACCTCCAACATCGCAAATACATCTTTAACAACTAATGAATCGACATTATCTTTTGAAAATGCGCTTACAATACGTTTACGTTTAATGTCAAGAGTTTCACGTAGTCGATTGAGCTAAAACAAAGAGTACAGATTAAAATTTTTGAACTTGTCTTTCATTATTAGTGCACTTCGTTGATTAATTCCACGGCATATTCAAATAATGAAAATGTTTTATCTTGTTCGGCTAAAAATGTTTCGACAGCACGCTTCAGATCCTTGTCTTTAATAAAAGTTTGTCCAAATACATTATGAAATAATCGACGAAATTCATCAGCTGTATAAGCATTTTTAACTCCACTTGAGCCTTAGATAAAAATTCAACTAGAATCTAATCAATTGCAAATGAGTTGTGTAAACTGTGAGGAGGAATAGAAAATTCGCTAATGTAGTATATTAATCGGAGGTTCTTATATTAAAAAAAAACTACGCATTTGAGAGATAGTTAAAGGAATGAGTCAATTCAGCGCAGAACATTAATGATTTCTTTCAATGCATCAGTTTGTGTATAGCTGTCGCGTCAGTGTGCAATGTTTTTGCAGTATTCTTTATAAATATATATTCAACATTGAGAAACTTGTAATAGATGACTACTATTTTCGGAAACAAACAGAACATGATTTCTAAACCCCTGAATGCTCTGAAATGGTACGAAATCTCCAGAAACCCCTTTCTACTCGTTTCTGAGAATAGAATATCTCAAAAATTTCAAAATGAAAATTTTACTTTTAGCACCAGAGAAATCAAATGATTTGAAACTACTAAAAATTCGATTAATGAATCTAGAGGACAGTGAATTACCAATGATCTATAGAAAATAACAGCAAAAAGATACGACAAAATCCTAGAATATGGTATCGTACGGGAAGTATTAAAGAGATTATTATCTGTTATCGTTAAGAGATATGTGACATACGTTTTCCAGCGAATGCATCATTTAAACTAATTTGTTGTTTCCTCACATTTGACTTTTGTAAGATGAAATTTTTTGATGCATAATTGGTTTCTAACAAACGATCTAATTCTCGAATATCTTCAAGTAATTTTTTTTCTTCTTTTTCATGTTGATCTTTCATTGCATGCATCCTAGCTACTAAATTTCGTCTAAAGTTAAAAGAGGGTAATACGAAAGAACAAAGAACATGAAGGGTCTTTTTCTTTACCTATTCTCAAAACTTTCCGAACATTCTGTTGTTAGCTTTCTTAATTCATCTGTGGCATTCTCCATGATAGCTGTTAGTCGATCATATTCTTTGATCATTTCACCTCGTTTTTCTAACATACGCTTAATATAAGAGCGTAAATCAGAATTATGGGAACGGATTGTATTCAGTTCAAGATTCATTCGATGTAAGCGATCTTCAGTTCTTGTCAATTGTGTATGATCTCGTCTCATTCGATATTCATTGCCATATTGACCACCATGTTGGAATTTTTCTCGATCAAATTCTTTTTCCAATTTCAATATATCCTCGCATATATTATTGATATCCGTTTGCAAATGTTTATTACTTTGTTGTATTCGATCAATATTTGATGAGCAGTTTTTTAATTGTTCCAGTTGTTGTTGTTCCAAACCTGTTTTGAGTTGAACATATCAAACACTGTCTGCGCCCGATTTACGTGAATAATAAGGCATGAGAAGATAAGGATAACAGAAGATTCTTTACTGTTGTTTCAAACTTTACCTCGAAATATATTTGCTGTAACCAAATTTTCAACAGTTAATAATTCTTTTTGTGTATGTTTTTCCAAATTTAATAGTTTTCTACATGAGAAAAGTAAGTATGCTGCTTAATACTTCTATTAGACAGAAATATTGTTTTACTCTTGCATTAATATTGAATTTCTTGTTCGATGTAAAAATCTTCTCATTCTGATTTCTAATTGACGATGAAGACTTTTCAACGTATTTTCTTCTGTGTTCAGAACAGCTATATGACTACTCAATTCCACTAATTTTACACGGTCAGTTGTCTAAACAATGACGGAGAACTTCCGCTTTAATTTTAATAGTATAGAAAACTTACTTCTGGTCGTCGACAACTATGACATTTAACTACAGTATTCGATGTGCCTACAGGCATAAAATCTAAACATATACGCAACGATTATTGAGTAAATACATTTATTTTCTATTGTGGCTACTGACTTTCAACAACAGCCATGAAGTCTTTCGTCATTTATATTTTTCAAAGGCACATCGATGAATAAAAGTAAAAATCTTAAAAAAACAACCTATTATAGATATTAGTGAGTCAGGTCTCATTATTGGGAACGTATATACAACAATGAAAAAATATGAATAAAAAATAACTAAAGTGGCACATCTCTTTTGCATATATTATTGTGCATATTTTAGAGCGAAAAATATTTTTATAGAAAATTATTGTTTATACATAGTTCAGTGCAGTTCAATTCTGGAATACATAGACTCCAAATATGCCAATTGATTTAATTAAAAACATATTTTTAGAAGAGAAAAACAAATTTTGTTCAGGAAGGTTTATCACTTTTTTAATATAAAGCCAGTTTTTCAAGATTTCAAGGTTATATTTATTGTTTTTCAAAAGATAGATGTTAAAAATATCGAAAACCAAAGTCGGAAAAACTCTTGAAACCGAAAATTTTTTTTCCTTTGCCAAAAGAGTACTTAATCGACATTGTAAAACTAGTTCACTTTAGCATAAATTCAATTGGCTCGCTCATTCTACGCTTTTCTGTAGTCGTCTGTCTATTGTGTTTTTATGCTATTGATATAAGCGCTGGCTTACCTATGTCGAACTCTTTCTATCAGTTTTTAATGAGTTCCTGCGAAAAGCCGGAGAATTCTCGATGGAAACCCGATGAAAATTTGATGGGAACTTTTATCTCAATAGAAGAAAACATATCTCACTTATTTCAACAGAATCTCTTGCTCGAGTCATTCACCGTTTTGGTTTGCATCGTAGTAGTTTATATAAAGATAACAGATATCAAGGAGAAGAAAATTTGTCCTGTTTCTATGAGTTACAGATGAAAATCGGCTCAATAGCTATGCAGGTCTACATAGTATGCAAAACGGCTTGGTCCTGAGAGGTTTAATAGAAATGTACGGTTATTTTAGCAATATTTCTTCGAGGAAACTAAAATTGAGAAAGAAATATATCATAGAGAAATACTGGAGATTAAAATGTCAAAATCATTTTGTTTGAAAATTTTATTTAAAATATAAAATCAATCAAAAAATTTTGATTTTCAAGATGTAGAAAGATGAAAGTCGTTTTCTTGTCGTCTTCACTCAATGCTTACCTTAAGAGCGTGCGCGCTAAGTAGAGTGAAACAAACTTAATTCAAATAAATTTCAGACTTAAGTCAAGACTTAAAAGCTAATTTTAAGAGCTACTTTACTTTTTTGATGAAACGATCCTGTTGATCATCACTCTGAAGGTATAGTATATCCAAAATGACACGATAGATTATACTGATCATTTTCAGCGGGAAAACAGAGTCTGCTCTGTAGAGTTTAAAATATCAAATATTTCTGATATTGTTCTGATCGCAGAATAACTGTTCTAAAATCTTCATGAAGCTGTTCTTTTTGTCAAAAGTCGTAAATATACTTTTTTTAGCAAAAAGATTTTCTTCTATTGATTGCGTTGCTGTCACCAAGCTCGCTGACGGCATGACTGTGGTCTTTTCAATGGCTGATAACTAAGCAAAATCCTTTAACTATATATCCTATGTGCCAAATAATGATTTTGACCATAGAGGGTTTGGCTGCTATAATCACATTGGTTATCTTTCACGACCAATCTTTCACTACCTCAGATGAAGCGCGTGTCGACCGCTTGAAGTCCAGTTGTTTCCCGCTAGTAGTCAAAAACGCTAGATCTTGAAAAAGGCTAACCGTAGTTTGGTTCTGAAAATATGCAAAATAGCAATATTGCAGTACAAAAAGACGAATATTAAGTTGATTTTGATCTTTTTTATAGAATAAGATATTTACCTGATAAAATTCAGTGGACTGCTTCTTAAATAGTAAATTTTGAGAATAAATCGATAGAAAAAAGTTTTTCAACGGCGGCATCTGAAATATTCCAATTTCTCATAATCGGCAACTTTGTATTTGATGAATCGGAATTATTTACTGACGGCCACCTTCGACGGGAAAAATTGACGGCTAGTGGGACACCAGGATGAAGTTTCCGTTGTTTTCTTTTAGCTCTAATCTTAGCTCCAAGGAACCAGAACGGTATATTTCTCCTATTAAGATTTTATTCTCTAACCTTGCACCTTCCTATCGATTATTATTACAAAGTCTGTATTCTAGAGAGTGATTTAGATACAGTGCTGTACTCTGGTACAGCTCAGTGAGTATCCACATGCTGTACAAAGGTTCTAGGAGAAAATATCTTTAGAACTTTCCACTACGCACTGTTTTCTTTGTTGTACTTCAGCTAAGACAGACAGCACTAGCCACATCTCTGATAAGTCTTCGATAGCCAATTTACCTCTTCTCAATCCTCATCACTTAATTTAATGATTACGTCAGACATTATACCCAGTGTTTTTAGTGAGAGTTTACAGAGTTTAGTGAGAATTACAGTGGAATACTACTACATTTACATCGACTTTTGCCACCTAAGAGTCACTGAATGAGAAATGCGACTTACTGCTACAAAAGTATACTAAATGGTCATATCAGATTGTTTTCAAAGTATGGTCATATTGTAGAGCATACTAAGTCACCTATAAATCCAAATTTTTAACTTTTCCGGACTTTTCCTCCAGGAGTTATGAAACTTTTTCTGAGACGTCGGTTGACAAAAAGGTATTCCGAGAAAATATGCGATACGAGTAAAATTAGAAAATTAATTGCTCGCTCACGATAAGAGATTCAGTCGAGATTTTTTCGTCACATGTACTAAACGATGTTCTCTAACTCTTGAAGATTTAAAATTTACATACCCACACGACAGACCTAAAAGCCTGAGACTCCAAAAGTTCTCAGGATCCGATTTTCTTTTTATCCGCCTCTGAGCTTGATTACGAAGAATTTCGCGAGAGTGGCTTTTTTACTACTATCAACCATAGGCTATGCTAATCTAAAATCGAAAGTTTGGGTCTCTCTAAAAGTTTCTGGAAAACCGTCTGGATTTTCTAGAAAACCGTTAAGAATTTCCGAAAACACTGAACATTACCTCCTTTGATAGAGTTCAAAACTCAGGTGGTAGAATGAGGTGTCTTGCAGCGCTGTACGACCCTTTCCTATTCAGCTGTGAATTTTTCAAAAAAAGCCGATTATTTTGTATTTTCAACAAAGCGAGAATTTCCTAAAATCCAGATCTTTTTGAAAAA